AGGCATACAGGCTTTTGGGCGGGCCCACCTTCTTTTCAAGATTTTTAGGCGCACCTTACGCCTAGGCGCGTTATTTTTTTTTGCACCCCCATCCTGAATTGAGGCATGATATGGTTGAAGGACTAAGTACATGTAGTATGTGATTACATAAGAGTATTGTACATAGCAGGCCAGTCTAGGGCTGTGACCCGACCCTGTGAGTTCATGGCTGGCACCAACGCAGCAACAGATACGGTACTGGTATCGTACCTGCAATACCAGTACCGTACCTGAGGAGACGGTACTGCAAAGAGGTAGTACCCAGTACCGTACCCTGGATCAGATACAGTACTGAGTACCGTAACCCTGGGTTGAGATTGCCTTATGCCTCCAAAGCCAGTACCGTACCCCTTTCAAGAGGTAGGTACGGTACTGTACCGGTACCTGATTGGCAAATGCCGGTACGGTACAGTGTCGTACCTAGGCAGGTACCACTTGGTACTGTGGCAAGTACCTCTTTGGTACTGTGACCAAGCAGCCATTTTATTGACCAAAAATCAAAAGAAGACAAAAAGAACATGTTCAAAGTGATAAACAAAAATAAGAATAGTAACAAACAAAATTGCATCAGTGGTGCCACTTGACAAACAGGACAAAGGCTATCAAGTCCCTTGGTGCTTCAGTACCATTCAGAAACAGGTACGGTACGGTACAGTACCTGGGTTCCCGGTACTAGTCCAAAGCAGTACCCAGTGCCGTAACTGTGTGTCAGGTACAATACTGAGTACCGTACCTGAAAATAAAAATGGGTCTTGAGCCCCTCCAGTATTGTACCTGGCACCAAGTTACGGTACTCCCGGTACGGTACTGAGCAAAACAGATACGGTACGGTACAATACCGGTACCAGTAGGGTATCTGTTGCTGCGTTGCTGGCACTGGGGCCAAGTTCAGCCCTGAGTGAGCCCAATGACCTCCAAAAACAGCTCAGGGTAAACCAGGGCCGGTAGGAGAAAAAAGGGTCAGCACCCCGGCGGAGTCAGGCTCTCAGGCCGCCTGAAGTGCCCACAGGGCCATATTCAACTATCATCAAGCCAAATTTAGATGCCCCAGGGCAGGTACTGTCAGATCTGTGAAAGTCATCAAGAGTTGGCTGAGCGGCACTGGGTCCGGGTCACAGCCCTAGGCCAGTCCAAGGGGAAAAATTCCAAACTTCAAAATCAAAAATCGAAAAATGGTTGGCAGACACCCCATGTCTTGTCTTCTGTATTAGCCCCAGGTTTGTCATAGGTTTTCTAGCTTGTCTGGAGTTGCCCTTGAGTATTCCACTACATATGTAGTGCAGCTTGCAGTGAAAGAAAACCCACAAACAGTTGTAAGAGACATCCTTCTTTGTCCAACCCTGTTCTATTGTTCTTGGTTTGGCAAACTTTCTGTGCACCTTATTGCTTTTTCTTTGTGTTTACTTTTTTCCTCTGTAGCCTGATGTAGTGCCACTGCCTATAGCTCAGCATCCTATATGTTGCTCACAATACCTGGTGCTTTTTTTACTGTGGTCCTCAGTTTAGGATATGAAAATTCAACATTGGGACACAGCCAAAAATTGATTTACACCCCATCATACATAAATCACCAATAACCTTCACATGTTCAATTTCAATTTAATCGTACTGCAATTTCCTTGGATCCAATTGCTCCCCAACCACTGTCTTTTATCAATCCAGCCAACTTTGCCTGCTAACTTTGTCTAGAAATCTACCAAACTCACCATGTTCCTTCAATCTTATTGATTCACCTCACCATCAAATTTCAACATCAAACTCTTATTCCTCTAAGGTCAAGCCTTGCAATGTGAATGTAGCAAGTAGCTTTCCAAGCCAAACATGGCAACCAACTCATAACAATGAAAAAGAAACTTGAAGTGGAGAAAAGTCTCAACTAAGAAAACATTTAATTAGTGTTTGTCAACCTACAGACAAATTAAAAGCAATGTCAATATCCTCTTTCAAAGCAAACTCCTATTTATCTATAAATTTACAATATTTGACCCTTGATTTATACAGTTTGAAACTTTCAATAGTAACTCTGCTCAAGAACAAACCAATTCAAATCAAATTCAACCCCTGGATGCAATGCAACAAAAAAGTTACAAGCTCAAGGATGGTTTTATACAATGGGTCATGCAAGCACTGTGTGAATATTCCACAGACAATTTTGTTTTGGCAAAGTTTTTAGAGAACTTCATTGAAGGTGAGTATGAATCATTATACTACTTTGGATCAAAGCTGACATGGCTGTCTGTAGAAACAAAAGGATGCAATTATCCTAGTTATATCAAAGCGGCACAATCAAAAACAACCAAATCAAAACCAAGTACAACTTTTATATGAAAATTCAATCACCTGCCAATATCAAGGTGATACTTAGTCCAAACTAATTGTAGCTTGAGTGTTGAACTTTGTGTAGAGGCACCTTGCAATGATTAAATGGGAGTCAACAAGTAATTGAAACATGAGCATTATTCTTATGTGTAACCACCAGATAATTTGTGGGCACTGCTACTGATTGCTTTTACTACTCTAATCACACTGTATTCAATGACTACAAAACAGCAAGTGCTTGTTAAAATTTGTACAATTGATAAAACACATTTCCCTCTCTGTCACAAGAAAATATTGGACAAGCTTCTTGATCACCTCCAAGGATTCCTGACACTAAACCGTTCAATTTCTGTGAGGTGATGTTGTGACAATCAGCCTGGGTGGATTTATTTTCATGATCTGTGGAATTTTGAGGTTTGGTTGCTCATTCCACTGCGTGATTAGAATAGTTGAAGTAAGTTGGAAATTGAGGTGGTGCCACTGCGGGCACACCTGCATAGTCTCTTTTTTAATCATAAGGTAATGAGATATAGCAGGTGGAAAAAGTATCCAGCCAAAATTTACGGCTCCTATGTCAATTTTTTTTGGATATGATATCAGTCCTTCTCTTGCCGGCTTGCTTGCCCACAGGGGCATAGTTGGGTTAGCAGTTCCAAGAAGGGATGATAAATTCAGCAGGAACTTTCTGCAACAATCATCTCGAAAAGCTCATTATACACCACATATCCACCAATGTGGACACCACGGTTAGGCCAAGGGATTGAGGGGCACTAAACATTCACATTTATATTTGAAGTGCTATGCACCATGTAAATATCCTTGTAGCACTTTGATGTGCACACACAGGTCTTTCCTTAGACCTGGTAAATACCCATCAAAGAGGTACCACAACAGGCACATCTTCCCCTTATCAACTGTGGCGTTGACGGTCAGTTGACCCCAGATGAAGACAAAGAATTCTGCAGATCCTATAAATAAATCAATATTCACAAAGTTTGCTCAACAACACTCTCAGTCTAAATCCAACCAAAATACTTTCAGATTTATTTCAAAACTCTCCGTGTGTGCATGTCAACCTGCTACAGGGCCATTTACATGGTGGTGAGTCCTTTTGCTTCCTCCCATCCCTGAGTTTTTACTCAATTCTCAGCTTTAATTTCATGTTTGTTCAACAAACCCATTCTATCAATCTCCTTTCCTCTCAATCAATCCATTAAACCAATCAAAATAATTGAGTATAATGTTTGTCTTCCTTCTTATTTTCTAAAACTTTTCAGATCTTAATGGGGTTTTTGACAACTTCCTTATCCATAACCCAAATTTATATGTCCTGATCAATACAACCAAAAAGGATATCAGCGGCCTTGGCTGTTTGTGAGCTTGGTTAGTTTCAGTGCCAGGGGTCTTGACAACACAAGTGGCATAGGAAGAGCTTTGAAATTGATGGATTGTTGAAGTCCATCTGTCATCATGGTGCAATTACATCTCTGGACCCTTTGACATAGTTGCTCTTGGCTAACTTTGAAAAGTTTACCCTAATAGAGCTAGTGTTCTCAGTTGACATGACAGTCAAGGTTGAGAAGATGTGATGGTGGTTGGATGGCAAAGGTTTCACAGTATGAAGATGTGTGAGAATAGAAGAAAAAAAATTGTATTATTGTGTTTACTGTAGCTCTGGCCTCATACCCAAAAAAAATCCAGGTACTTGTGCAAGTCCTCCGGTAAAGGATCAAATCAGGCAATAGTCTAATGAAGGTAGACTCTCTGATGATCCACCATTAACATAGATGCCTTGGGTTGTGGAATCTGAGGCATCATCAGATGCAAACACTCGTACAGATCTTGTCCAAGGATTTGAGTCCAAAGATACCTCCAATTGAAAAATCCAAGGCAAAGTTGCTGGATGTGATAGATAAGCACAATAACTGATGTATACTCTTGGATGATCAAAAGAAGCACAATCTATGAAAGAAGATTGTAGCATAACAAAAGATTTGAGTTTGATTACAAGAGAGAAATAAAACAACAAGAACAATAAGTAATACCTGGTAATGAATCAGAGCAGACAATAATCTGATGAAGGTAGACTCCTGGATGAACAAAAGAAGCACAATATATGAAAAGCGATTATAGCACAACAAAAGATTTGAGTTTGATAGGGAGGAAGAGATGTCGTGTCAGGATCATGAAATAAGAGAAACATATATACAATGCGCATCTAAGTAAACCACATCTATACTTGTCCTGCGCCTAAGTGATCACTTTGTGATCCCAATTATAAATAAATATGTTGATATAGTAGAAAAGTGATACAAACTTGATGAAAGAAAAAAAGCCTCTCCATTATGTTACAAAAATAAAAGATCAAGTCAAAATCTTCTTCAAACATGACTAATAGATGTTGAAGCAGTACTTTCACCTCTAGATTGATGATTACGTAATAAATCTTGAACATCTTCAGCAGATAAACCTGATTTCAAAAATCCATAACCTGATCTATAATCACGTGTATCGAGTAATGGAATATTAGAAGTAGAAAAGATAAATTCGGACGGATCTGGTGGTGCCCGAGCCCTGGGGAAAAAAGAAAAACAAACGGACGTTAGTGAGCCTTCTTGGGTTACGGATATGAGAAAGGTCAAGAAAGACTTACGTGATTTTTGCAAGCTCAGGAGCAATCAGATGATGACAAAAATGATCCATATCCAAATCATTCAAATCTAATGTTCAAAAAAGCCATATGAATACATAAGTAGATAATCTTTGAAAAATCCAAAAACAAAAGCCAGAAAAGAAATAAAAAAAGTGAGGAGACGAACCATATCCAAATGGATTCTCGATTTCGTCACCAACTCTCAAAAAACCAAGAAAAGCAATTCCAACAAGAGCGGTAGCAGGGATGGTAATAAATCCAAAAGAAGTTACTAGTTGAAGTGGTAATAATAAAAGATAACCCCAAGTGACTAATTTCAAATGTACAATATAACCAAATGGGATTGGAGTGGTTAGAATTCTTTCTAAATTAGTCAATGCATCTGTTAGAGGTTGGACACCAGTTATGAGTGCATTCGCTGCAGAGGGACTAAATGAATACCAAAGTGAAACGGTCAGGATGAGGTTGACAGATAGGGTTGAGATGCAGAGCTTACTCGAGAACCTGGCGACGGTGAAGTTGAGCAACATAGCTATCGATATGCCAAATGATCTCAAGTGGAATGTTATCTTCATGTATCACTCTAGAATTAATTCCTCTCCGGCGACGCAGGCCGGCAACATTCCGTGTGCCCTAATTGACATGTCAGATTCTCAGCCTTTTTGTTGACACGTTACGTTCCGAAAAGAAGCTTACCTTCCAGAGGGCTCGGGGGATGGCCAAGAATGGAAATCGCTCAACCCATCGCTCATGAGGTGGATTATGAGCTGGTAGGAGGTCACGATCAGCTTTGAACGGATCAAGAGGTACAGCTCCCTTGCATTTCATTGGACGTCTTTGTTGTTCAGAATTATGTAATCTTTCTTCGCCAACTTGTTCATTATGACGAACTTCAAGAATAGTAAAGTCCGATCGGGGTGACTCGCTTCCTCGATTCTCATTCACCTTGACATCAAATTTCAGCGCATATCCATTAATTGAAGGCGAATTTTGAGCACAGTGGGCAGTAGTGAAGCCTAAGTCGAGTCTCTCGACGGGATGGCCAGACGGAAAAGCATACTTGGGTAAGAGACATGCTAGATCTGATAGTGAATACAGTTCAAATACTTCAGTAAGGGAATCATCAACTCTTGACACTAGCACACTGGTACGTACGGTATAAATCCTCGTAGTAAATCCCATATTCTAATGGAAGAATAACATCGTATGGTAATCATTTAATATCAAGGACACCATAACGGTTAGAATATAAGTTCGATATCCTAACTTACCTCCACGGAGGTGATGCTTCAAGCTGACAGCAAACCCTTCAATCAAGTTGATAATAGTCTTCTTCTCAATGATCGACCTCAAACGCTATGATCAAATCCACTTGAAAATATAAGCAAGACATCTTCAAAATGGTGTATTTTTTTTTGGGAAACTCTGACTACTAACCTCTTCTTCTGTGGGCAGATAATTTGGATCGTGTGGTCTAAGTGCATTAGGAACATGAATCCAAATGAGACGAGCAAGGTTACGACCACCAAGAATGATCGAGGACCATTGCTGTCGACCATCATTGTATCGTTCGTATGCACCTATCAGTAGCGAAATTAAATTTCAGTTCATAATAAGTCGTGAAGATTTTCGTACTTGGTGGTGAGAATGATTAGACATACTGGAGGTTCGATAAGATACTACGAAACCAATCACAGTTCCTTTGGTTCAAAATTTTCGATGATTTCATCATCGAGATCAAAATGATTAGACGTTTTACGTTGGTAATGCAAGCCGTACTACGCGAACAAACATACCGAGTACGTTTACGATGGTTGGTGGCTGATTTCATCGAGCAAAAGAGTTATGATCGACATGAACAACTGAACCCAATGTCGTGTTCTAGATGCAAGTTTACGTGACGCGACTGACCAATTGAAGCGAAGTTACATCGTGATGTAGGATAGCGATGGTACTCAGGGTAGCCCAGACCGTGAGAAAGGCAATCTGTTACACGATTTGATAAAGCATATCATCAGCCTAGATTTATATGAGGTGTTCGACTCCCTCAAGATGATTTGGAAGCAAAATCACGCTAGGCCAGAGTCTCCAGATGGTCAACGCCTTTACAAAAGTTAGTGCTGAGGGACTGAGGAAGGCAAAACAGATCAGGGTTTGACATTAATGAGATTTGAGGTGATAATATGATACTGAATCTTACGCTCGAAATGGATTTAGTAAAATCTGTTCTCTTTCTATTTCCCTTTTGTGATGAAACGGTGCAAAACCGAGTGTGGGTACTTGTTGATATATAATCGAAGACATCGCCTCCAACCTGGTATTCGAGTTTTTTAAAGAAATGGTCAGCCGTGTTTTTGAAGGTACCAACTTGTAACGCTGCTTTTTTATGGGCGGAGGCCGGTGGGGTGACCGTGTCAGTGTGGCTCACACTGACAGGTGCAAACCAATCAGTCGAGGAAGTGCCAGATCATCATCGTGCATCTACCAATTCCACGGTCCTTTGTGCCGTAAATGACATTAGCATGCTTCCATATAATACTTTAAGAGCATGAGCGCAATTTACATTTTCCAAAAATCACCCTCCTGCGCGCGCCAAAGCTGAAAGGTCACGCAGCTGGCTATGGTTTTTCGACAAATTTGGTTTCGCAAGTTGTTCGAGGTTCTATTTGGGCTCATCCGAAAAATCTGGAACCGATGCTTTCGCAAGCTTTGGGCAACACTTGTACATGTGCAGGCCTCTTTGGTCTAAATGTGTCTTTTTCTTGATCAAAGTGAACAGTATCAATGGGGCTTGGGACCTTGGGTAGGTGAGGAGAAGATGTGGCTACTCTAGGTGGCCCTGGGGCCTGAAGTGTTTCTTCCCCAAACCGCGAAAGCAAGACTTGAAAGGAAACAAAAGAAGATGGAAGGAAAGTGTAAACTTCCAAAGTCCCTCCCCCTCACCCAAGGTTCACGAGTACAATTTTTGCCTTAGAACAGCAACATGTTGGACTACGTTGGTGCCCGTCCATTACGAATGTTCCACACAAGAATACAACAAGTGTAACGAAATCCAAGATGAATGGCATCGTTCAACTGATTAACCGGATGAGAAGCTCCCCATAATTTTTTTCGATGAAAGTCGCGTCAGGTCATATTCATGGAAGTAATAGAATGATGACTTAAATTGTAAAGGTTATCAGCCATTTTTGGGGGTCTTGAAGTGTATGTTGAGTTGGATGTAGCAATTGCAGTCACCTCAGACACATCTTTGGCTAACCAGCTGAAGGTATCAATCAACTTCAACCAGGATTGTCACGTTTGTTAGCTCATATATAGACTAAGAGCAATGAGACTGTGGCCAAACAGTTCGCTACGTTTGAAAAGTGAAGGCCAGGCACTAGATCTTGACACCTGCTTTTTACTACTAATAGTTGAATAAACAGAAGGTTTCAAATGACTCCCCCACTGCCCACATTAAAGAGGTTCCCAGATGGGAATATAGGTTGTAGGGATCAGACCGCCATTGTGATATATGTAGTCACAAAGGCTGTCTGATTCCTACGACCCATATTCCCAGAGAAATCGAGGCATTGTGCAACCCATCAGGCCGGCCCGCAAAACTGACCAGCACGGGTCATTTCACATGTATTGACAAACCTAATTTGTATTTGATTTGTATTTGACATCCCCTGCGTGTCCCACGCCTCGATTCATCCTGATGCGGGATACTCTCAACAAATTCAAATTTGATTCATAGCAACCCCTAAATGTAACAACTTATTCTTCGTTATCAACCTTCCATGAACTCGCGATATATCGACATTTGCCAATTACCATTACTATACCCATTGTTTCTTAATGGGTATTTGCCAGCGGCAAATAGACGTGCAACAACGCTCAAAACAACGCACACACATCAGACGATGTGACTTTATCACCCAAAAAAAACACCTCGTGCAATGAATCCAACAAAACGTTCCATTTGAGCTTTCCACATGCGCAATGCATCTTACATGACGGGCTAATTCTAAGCGGATGAAATCCTCACCTCGCGAATACGTCCGCGGAGAAAAATGTAAGGTTGATGAGATCATATACACATCAATAGCCTGAAACCGATTTGTGTTTTCCTCCTGCCTTTAAGAATTGGAGGACCTTTAAAAGATATTTTATGAATATCTTTTAACCACCTTTCCAATCACTTTTTATATTACCAACTGCAAGGCCTCCTACATCTCGTCGTTTTTGAGATCGAGATCTTTGTGTTCATTACCAAAGTCTTAGACACTCAGCCAACGAACCATGCTTATCAAAGCCCTTATTTCACGGCTAGCCACATTGTACCCCGACACGTACGAGGACTTGACGCTAAGGCAGCTTGTATCTTTTGTCAATCTCTCCGCCGACTTTTTGAAGAGGAACAACGGCGCTCACAAAATGACGGCTTTACATGGGCCAGTGGAGCTTCTGAACCATTGCCTCGACCCCCAACAAACCACTGAGACATGGAGTCGGCTATGGTTGTTGACATATAAACACCTACCCTCCTGCCAGTATGACCCCCATATGATCAAGAAATATGGGATTCCATTGGAAGACCGACCACCACAAGACGTACTCATCATTCCAGAACGGACTTTCAGACCCCCCACAAACCACTGCTTCCAATGCATCGATTGCGAGACAGGCGAGCCCGAGCGACTGATGATCAGGCCTCACGTATTTGCGTATCTATTCGACATTGACGGCATTGAAACCGTGCAATACTTCCCTATGTACTGCCGCGGTAAGCCAACATCATTGTATAATTCCTTTTCATACAACTACTGAAACCATTTACCCCCGATGGTGTTTTAACTCAGGGTGTAACTCAACTTATACACCTTGTTACCTTTGCCAGGATGAATACCGGGAATATTACTCCGCCAAAGAAGGACAACCAAGAGATTACTTTCAGGTCTCGCAGCGCTACTTCATGACCCACCGCCTTGCCGATCACTTCAATCATTTACAAATGCAAGGCGTGTAAGCAAATTTCAAACACGCTGTGGCCTCAATCGTCACTGAAATAGACACATTTTCCATAACAGCGTCAGCATATACAATGTATTTTGCATTTACAATCGCGCACACGCGGCCCACAACACCACTTACTTGAATGATTTCCGCGACAACCAGTTCACCCGAAAAATTAGTCCCAACATATGCTCGCTTGGCCTTGACATCCACCGTCTGATGAAAAGCACCAATGCACGAGGTGTGCGCTTGAAGAGTGATGTGCATGGCATGGACAACCGCAGATTCCATAATGCCATGAAAAAACACCTGAAATGGCTTCAAGAGGAGGGTACCTCATTTCAATCGCATGTGTGCTTGTTGTGCTGCGAATTTGAACCCACAGGTAACGTTGAAGAAGCCCGAGGTGAGTCGTAATACACATAGCCCGCTTTTTGCTGTAACAATCCTAACACTGCACTTCAGTAATGCGTGCCATGGTGACCGACGGGATCACAATAGGTCATTGGTGTTGCAGCGTATCCGAAGAGCAAATCAAACACTACGACCCACATTCAACACTCAACTACTGCGAAGAGCCTCTCAATAACGTGAATGATCGGTATTGTCTAAGACACCTTCGCTTACTCAAGAAGACATGTCAGGTGCAACCCTGTGTCAAACCAGTCCAGAAAGATTCCGACACGTTGTAGAACTTAAAGCTCAACAAGAGCTTTACAGAGCTTAAAGAGGGATAATCTACTAATAAAGTATCTAGTAGAAGTTGCCTAAGACTGCCTCTTTGAAAGAATCAACACGGGGTTTTGCTGAATTCTTTGGGATAAGGCACCAGAGAAAGTTGTCTCAATACTTAATTCAAGTATTATTCCCGTGATTTTTAATTATAAAGAAATCTCAACACTATTGTAGTGTTATTCCAATTTGAACACAATAAAACACAATTTTAATTACTAGCAAAGCAACAATCACTTTGATTGTTATTCCAATGAAGACTTGTAGTCTTATCACACGTAAAGAAATCTCTCCTTTGATGTAAAGGGGCAATTTAGTGAGCTTAGTACTGGTAAAGTAATTTAATAATGATTAAAAACACTCTAACAAAAGTATAAGATGAGTAAAAAGGGGAACAAAGGCCCGTAAAATCCTTAACAATAGTATATAACTCTCCAACAACCTTCAACAATGGTCAACAACCTCCAAAAACCCTCAAAAACCGTCAAAATCAACAGAGTATCCTCCAATGTAATCATATGATGTCATAAAGATTATTGTTTGTAATGATTCAAGGCGTGAATTTGATCAATTGATGTAGATAAATGATGAACAGATCTTCTTATGATGAATACAGGTGATTTTTTCCTAATATTCATAGCTGAAATCCATTTTTGGAATTACGAATTTTTTGTAAGGTTGTTCAATTTTGTATTACTATAGCTCATTTAATAGCCCTCGTGATTCTGATCATTTATCACCCCTATATCACCTATTTCTGATGTGTGATGAATAAGTTATTGAGTTGTAAAGATTGCAAAAATAAAGTTTTGTCATGTAAATGTCACATGTAACCTCCAAATTCGAAATTCACTCCAGTTTCTTTGTTGCCTTATAACTTTTTCACTACTCCTCCGCTACTAATGATTTAAAGGTTGTACATTATGAAACCAATGATTTTGCGTCGAATGAACTATCACACACCTAATTCTGACAAGTTTTACCATATGTAATTAACTGAAAACTCCCATTTTTGATGAATTTTGACTATTTTCACGTCTAATAATGATTTTCCTTCTATCAAAAGATCATTCCACAGCACTCCAATCAATCACACAGCATTAAAATCCTTCTGAAAAACTCTTGGCACAATCAATCCATCAATGACATCACTACACAGGAATTAATACCATAGTACCTTTCTTCGAAATTTCCCTTTTCTTGAATAACTTCACACCTCCCTTATCAATCCTCATGATTAAGGTTGCTGATGACTAATATGATCCTTCTCTTTCACAATAAAACCTTCCTGAACCAATATCTCTTCTAATAATAAGCTAAAAACCATTTTCCAAAATTTCATACCCATATTTTCGAATTTTTCTCCAACTTTCTTAATATTCTTCTTATTCTTCCATTCTTTTCATAACAGTTTCCATTCCTAAAGATCCAAACTAAATGTTCTTCTTCCTCAAATCTCCTCTTACTAATTCTCCTAATTTGATTTTCACTCTTTTACTATTTTTATTGATCTTTTCGAATTTTTCTTTACTCTTAAATATTCTTATCAATTGCTTATGTAAATATGTCAGGGTGGCAAGTCTCTATATGAGCCTGTAAGGTCTAGACTTACTAGGTTCGAGGCCCTGACTGCTATTTCTCTGGTTACGAGGAATAGGTATGGTAGTAACACTACAAGATGTTTCACAAGGGATATCGAGACGGGTAAGTACTCTAATCCTTCAGCGTGATTTTGGAGAGATAGCGGCTTACCGAGGTTTTCGGTTGAAGGTTGGTCACACCTAAGCCGGTTCGGATCCTACTAGACAAGTCTAGAAGGTAGCCTGTTGGGAACAGGGATCTCGTCAGCTGAGCGATGACGGATCAAGATCAATAGACCAGAAGAATTCCAACTAACTAGTAGAAGGATGGAGCCTTATCCAGGCGTGGACTTCGAGCTGTTGGCTAGGATTAAGGACTGGGAAGCAGAGGCTCCGGAGGCGATAATCCAAGGGAACTAACAGGAATACGGACAGATAAGGGGCTTCAGTATGAAGCAGAGAACTGATTAGATAAGCGTAGGGGAAAGGATTTCCTCAGGCTTCAGGATCAAGAGTGGAACTAACGGGTGATTCTAAAGATTCTAGAAAACGAGTATAGTTGGGCTCTTGACAGGTGTTTTCGGGATAGAAATATCTATACGAAAGTAAGTAAGTTGAATCAGATGCCTTCTCTTCTTCCTGTCGAGAAGGTCGTATTTATACCCTTTCTCTCGACTGCCAGCTTGTGGTTGCTGATATGCTGCGTTTGAACTTGCTTCGTGGGCGCCCACGTTAGTTAGTTGGTTGGTAGGAACGGCTCCTGTTGCCTCATCTGTTTGAAGGACATTAGGTCGAGAGGCTCGTCGTCTCTTCTACGGCTGTTGATTTCATCTCAGCCTCCTTCCCTTTTGGGAAGGGTGACTTATGTCTTGTACTCGTGCTAGGGGCCTTGGAGTCTTGTGGGTTTCACACTTGGTATTCCTTCGTGATGTGGTTCGCGGTCTTTGACACTAGACCTATAAGTTGTAATTCTTTCATTATGCTTTTATTGGGTTTGGGGTCTTTGAAACTAGACCTTAAGTTGTATCTATTTTTATGTTATTTATTAATTATTGCTCAATCTCTTCTTGGAGTACCTTTGGCTCTTCCATCGGAAGGCTCGGGTGCTGACACTCCCCAACCACAAGGAGAGTCACACTCTCTTATGCGCTCTATACTTCCGCAGTATGGCTGAAGAATTAGGTATGTCTTTTGCTTCTAACCATTTGTCTTCATCCGCGTGCTTTCCTTTGAACCTTGCTAGGTATAAACGAGTGTCTCTGCCGTTCAGTCTGACAAGTTTCTCCTGTATTACAGATTTAATAGCTCCCACCGGCTCTTCTTCAACGGGTAGTTCCGGCTCCGGCGGTTGTTCCCTGTTAGGGAACTTATCTTTGTCAGACGATTCATACTTTTTCAACAGCGACACTGGGAAAGTGGGGTGCTTCCGCGCAATCGCTCCGGTCGGAATAACTTCCACAGCATTGCTGCCGTGTAGCGCTTTTATGACATATGGTCCAATAAATGGATCCCTCAGTTTCCTTGGCCCCTTGAGGTTCGTGAAGTGTGCTGTAGAGATTAGTACCAAGTCTCCTACTTGGAAGCTTGGTTCTTGGTGTGTCTTATCCCATCTTGATTTGTTGTACTCCACTGAGGCTTGAATGCACTCTGTCGCGTGTTGTCGCGCTTTTTCAAGCATGTGGTGAAAGCTAACAGATGTCGGGTGGAAGGTAGAGTCCTTTGGACGTAGTAGTTTACTTGGTGTTCGGATGTTAAAACCTCGCTCGATCTCGAAGGGCGATTTCCCTGTGGTGCTGTGCGTGCTAGTATTATATGCTATCTCCAGTGCTGGTAAGAGACTCTTCCAGTCATGTGTATAGCCGTCGGGGTCCTTGAATTCCAACCCAAATCCGCAATACGTTCGGATCAGGGATTGCATGCTTTGGATCATCCGCTCTGCGAGTCCGTCTGTTTGCGCGTGGTGGGCGGTTGACATTGCTAATTTTGTCCCAGAAAGACTAAAAAGACCTTTCCAGAAATCCGAGGTGAATTTAGGGTCTCGGTCACTGATGATGACCCTAGGGAGACCCGAATCACATACTATCCGTTCCCAGAATAGCATTGCTACATCCATGGCTGTCGCGTCTTTATGGCACGGCAAAAACCTGCATCTCTTTGAAAATCTATCCACCACGACTAACACGCAGTCGACATTGTCGTGTCCCGCTGGAGGAAGCCCGCTTACAAAGTCCATGTTTATGACTTCCCAGGGGACTGTGGGTTCGTCTATTTTCTGAAGAAGTCCCAGTCTTTTCCCAGTAGCTTTATTCGATTTTTGGCATCTGTCGCAAGATGCCACGTACTGCTCCGTCAGCGTCCTCCATTCCGGCCACCAGGCCGTTTGCTTGACCCGGTCAATGGTCCTATCGGTACACAGGTGTCCTGCCATGATATCGTCGTGGCAAATTTTTAATATGTCTGTCTTCATATCCGTGGATGTGATCACCATCACGCAGGAGTGTTTCTCCCGATGATACAGTACGCCGCTGAGTAAGGTGAATCGTCCTTCATCAAAGGATTTTTTCCACTTTCCGTCTAACGTTGTTGACAGGGGCAAGTTCTTGTGATCTTGCTTCAGAATTTCGATAAGTTTCATGGTATTTGGCTCCAACATGTAGTCTTCTTTGACTTTATCAAAGAATTCGTCTGAGAGATCGCAAATGCTGATCCCCATAATGTGGAGGTCTCTCGTACTGTCTTCAGGATCCCATGCTGGGTTTTGCGCGTCGTTGTTAAGTGCCATGCGGCTAAGTGCGTCGGCATTTTCATGCTTCCTCCCTTCTCGGTGTGTGATGGTCATGCACGACCTGTACTCTTGGATGGCTATTTGCCAACGCAACATGTGCCTATTAGGCGTTTTCATATTTAGCAAGGATTTCAAGGCCGTACAATCTGTAATTACTTCGAAATTTGCACCATCAAGGTAGTAATGGAATTTTTCCAGGGCCCAGACTAGGCATAAATTCTCAAGTTGTGTCGCTCCGTAGTTCAACTCAGACTGTTTCAATTTCCTCGAGATACAACTAATCAGTCCCTCTACTGGTTTGCCGTTGATGACTTGGGTTTGTTGTAGAGTTGCTCCCAGCCCGTCAAAACTGGCGTCAACGTAGACCTTAAACGGAAGCTTGAAATCTGCATGGAGCAAGAAAGGTGCTTCTGTAAGCTTTTGTTTCAGTGCTTTCCATGAAGCTACTCTATCCTCGGTCATCTCAAAAGTAACACCTTTTTGTAAGAGTTTGTACAACGGTCCACTTACTTTGGCGAAGCCTTCCAAGTGCGACCTATAGTAATTCGCGAATCCCAAGAAGGATTGCACCTCTTTCACCGATTGTGGTATGGGCAGCTTGAGGACTGCTGCGACTTTATTCTGATCTACTGCGATCCAAAGTCCTGAGACCACATGTCCCAACGCTTTCAGCTCTTGGAAGGCAAAGTTGGTCTTATTCAACGAGATCGTCAAACCCATCCGGATTAGTCGTTTAAAGACCCACTCTAGTTTGACCAAGTGTTCTTCCCAGGTCTTGGAAAAAACTATAATATCGTCGATGTAAACTATCATCCATCCTTCACTTAACTCGGCCGCGAATTCTGTGTCCATAGTTCGTTGAAAATGTGATGGCGCTGTCTTAATTCCCATTGGCATTTTCAAGAACTCGTGAATTCCCCTATGCGAGATAATCCTAAGGTATTTTCTACTCTGTTTCTCCACCACGTTCTGATGGAAGCTTTTCATCGCATCCATCGTCGTAATGTACAGCGCCTCGCTAAGGTTTGTCAAGCAGTGATGGATCCTAGGCATCGGGTACCTGTCTGGAACCGTAAAGGTGTTCAGCGCTCTGAAGTCACCGCACATGCGTGACTTTCCATTATGCCACACAATGATAACGGGGGTTGTAATATCTACCTCCTCATCCGCGCCTACTTTCCGTATAATCTGCAGGCGGAGTAGTTCGTCAATGTGTTTATCGATTTCGTCCCTGCTCCTGGGACTCGCGGGATAAGCTTGCTTTTTCAGCACTGGTGGGTATGGTTTATCCACCGTGAGCTTAATTGTCATCTCATGACCTTTGATTGTCCCTATTGGGTTCTCGCCGTATGCAAACGCTTTTTTATGGGATCTCACTAGTTTATTCAGGTCGTTTAGCTCTGACGCTTTCAATCTTGGGGATATATTGCATAGGTTGTACGCTTTCTCGAATTCTTTATCCGTGTCCTGCGTAATCGCTTCTATACGATTCTCTCTAAGGGAGTTCAGAAGAAATTTCTTTTTCTTGTTTTCATTGCCTATAGTAAAGTATTTCTCCTTGCTATGGACAATATCTATCCCGTACAATCGCAAATACTCGCCTCCTAGGATTAGATAGTTAGATGTTGCATTGTCCATCACCACGAACTCAGGTTGAATCCGAATGGATCCCAATCTGTGTGGAAAAGTGAGTGGTAACTCTATCACTCCCAGAGGCGTAAGGCTTGTACTGCATCCTCTGAAGGTCATTCTGCTCGGAGGCATGATCCTATCTTCCCATCCCGGAAGGATTCTCGACAAGTATTTTTTACCTACAATGGAACACGCGGCGCCGCTATCGAGCAGGACATGTACCTTCGACTTGTTTTCTAGCAATGCTGGTGTTACACAGTGGTCCCCTAATGTATGGGCTTTGCCCTTCTCTGGCTTCGACATCATCAGTCTCGCATCTGAAACCTGCTTAGACGCTTCATCCCACTCCTGGGGTATTGCTGCTTGTGACTGAAGCTCAGCGATGTCTAGGTTCCCATCGGGTTCCACTGTTATAGTGGCTATTTCGCTTGTCCCTTCTGAAGAGGAGTAACACGGCGATAATTCATATTCTCTCTCAAGCGATCCAATGTAACATCGTGGGTTATATCCCAGATGAAGCGTAAATCCGAATTCGCTCAAATCTCTGCTTCCTAGTACCAGATAATCTATATGTTGATCCGTGGTCACTACAAATTTAGTCATAAGCAGACAAGGGTTCCAAGTGTGTTCGATTTTAATAGGAAGGGCTAGTTCTCCCAGTATTTCCGAATCGTAATCCTGATTCTCAATCGCGGTTGAACGGGTGTCCGCCGCCCATGTTCGCCAACATACGTTCAGCACTCTGGTAGAGGCCATCGAAGGTCTCAGACCTGTGTCCAACAACATCTTACATCGGATACCGTTCACGGAGACCGTCAAAAAGGTTCTTGTTTCTGGCACATCCAGTATCGTTCTGGGTATTTCTATAGGAGGAGCAGTTGAAATCGCGTTTTCCGAGATCCGTAAGTTGGTAGCGAGCTGCTGTAGGGTTATCCCCGCGCTTTCTGTAAGTGTATTTTCTACATCCAACGTGTTTCCTGTATGGCTTTCGGTTTCTGAGATATTCAGATCTTCGGCTATCCTGAACATGTCTACGTTCCCTACACAGAAGTCAACGTCCTCCTCTTCCGTCGTGCTCTCGGAGTCTTGTGACCTACTTCCTTGTAGCTCACCTTCATCGCTGATCTGCGGTTCCGCATCCACTGCGTTGATCTTTTTCTCGAATGAGAACTTCTTCCCGTCTTTTGTTTTAAAGGGTGGCTTTTTGCCTTCTCCATTCTCTGGTTTCCCGTCCTTACCTCCGCGGTAGTCTCTGTTTCTATACTCTTTGTTACTATAATTCTTATAGTCTCTGAATTTCGAGTTGCCAAGCTGGACCTGCTTGATGTTTTCCGCTTTCTTAAAGCGACGGCCGATGGAGGTGTGCGTTACCACATCTTCAAAGATGTTGACAAACGCTTCGAAGTCCGAATATTCGCGTATCCTGGACTGAACTGCGTGTTCTATATCGCCGTCGCATAGACCTAAAATCTTATCAATTTGTTCTCTAACGCTCAGCGTGGGCCAAGCCGCTTCCATTCTCCTTCTCTGGAGTAGGAGCCATGCTACCGGCTTGTCTTTATGTTCCCAGCTGAACACATCTCGGTCGAAAGCTGTACTCATTTTCCTTTTCCATAGGGGTGTCCCAAAATGCTCTTTGATGATCTCGCGCCACTCGGGCCAACTACGTGCGCCTACTGCTTTCCGCTTGTTGGTATACCAAGCTCTTGCTGAGTCTGTCAAGATGATACCTAGCTTACACGTGATAAGGTGATCTGGCATTTTTGAATCTTCCGCGTTATTGTCGATCCATTCGATCCATTCCAAATGATTGTATTCTCCTTCTCCGGAAAATTTTGGCCAATCTTTGGCCGGGAGGTAATCCTTCCTCATTTGCTTCACAATATCCGCATCCGGAGACGCGTTATTCGCTTGGACTGGGAGTGTTGTGTCCCTGTCATACCCTTCCATTGTGCGCCGGTGGTTTGTTACTAGCTCGTGAGCAAAAGGATTATTACTTAGTGATGGTCCCTTATCGAACACACCGTTAGGTTCCGGTAACTGTTCTTCGCTGTCTTTTTTAGCGGTTGATTTGTCCAGCATCGATACTATCCTGGACACATTCCTATTGGTAGCTAGATTCATCTGAGCTTGCTCATCGAATTTTTCCCCTAATCTACACATCAGCTCCCCCAAATGGTGGCTATGCGTTTCAATCAGTTGCTGATTCGTAACCACCTGGTTGATTAGCAATCTTTCGATTTCGTCTTGATGTTTGGTCCATGCCGCACCTACATCCGCACAGCTGCATTTAAACATGATTATCGTTTCTTTGATATCCTCAAAGTTTACACTCATCTCGTCGTTCAGGATGTTCAAACAAAAATCCCATTTTTCGTTCAATTTGGATATACCTTCGTTGAACTTTTCTTCCATGATTTTCTGCATTGTTGCGAACCTTGTATCTAGGTCTTCCTGATGGTCTTTCCATGAGTGGATGGACTCTGCCGATAAGCTTTCTGTTTGTAGTCTTAGCTTCTTAAATTTCTCGCTAAGGCTAAAATTTTTATCTTGTGAAATGGGACTTAGGTCATGCGACGTATTTCTCAGAAGGCCTGGTAACACGAAAGGGGACGCTCTTGTTTTAGCGTCCGCTATCCCTGTATCCTCAAGTTTCCTCACGTGCTCTGTCTTCTTGGCTTCGGCAGGTGCGTGGGTTTTCGCATGAAAAGGCTCAATTTCTCTCATGTTCTCACTAAGGCTCACGCTCTTTGGCTCGGTCATCGTTTTGGGTCTCATTTCTAAAGCATTTGTTCTTCTGTTCAGGCGTGTAGGAACGGTAAATACAGGGACAACAAGTTTTGGGGGTACAACTTCGCTAATTATACGGTGCGATGAAAGAAAAGGACTTGGTGTCATAAGCACTGTATTACTCATTGTTGGGGTTCCTTGGGGTTCTCCTGATGTTGCTTTGGGTGATTCTTGCCCTTGTTCTTCGAGCCCTTGATGCCTTTCATGGCTCGGTAGTACGCTCGGCTGAATGACAACATTTGTTGCATGTTGCGGGCTTCTTCCTCTGCTTGAGGAGGTTTCTGGTACGGGGCGTTGTTCGAACGTTGGGTTTGGGTTCTCGAGGGTCCGGCCGTTGAGGATGCTTGCGCCGGAGGGGGAGGTGTTTGTTTGACATGCTGGTCCCGTCCGATGAAGCCGTTGTGGGTTCTCGCTAGCAACTTCTGCTCCTCCACGAATGGATCCCACTGCGTGTTCATCACTTTCTTGAACTCGTCCCCCATCAAGATCACCAAGGTCTCGTGAGTTGACTTCCACAATTTCAGATAGATCATGATACTGCGGGTGTTGTTGGGGTTCGAGGTCTGAGCGCTGAGCCAATTCTGGAAGTTGTGGTCGTGCAGCTTCATGATCTGTTGTACCTGAGCTTTGTCCTGCTCCACTTGCAAGTCCGGTGGTGGATGCTCTGCTGGGTGGTCTGAATCCATGAGGACGTCTTGGTTGGCTGCCAACGGAGTTGGATCGACGGATTGAGTCACTGTAGTTTGGCCGTCCGACGGTTTCTTCAAGATCTTTAACCCGGCTAGACTTTCTGGGTGCCATGGTAAGAAGATTTCGTAATTGGATTAGAAATGGTAGAGTATCAAACTAAAAGGAGTCTATCTTCGATCTTTTGACGAAGAAAAAACGGAAAAAAAAGAACGGTCCTGAACCAGTACTTACTAGTCACCCCTGTGGCTGTAGTAATCGGTATCTCCCCAGTACTCGGTGTGGAGGTAGGGGTCTGGACTGCGTTGCCTTGGTCGCTCGTCGACGATGAGGTGGGGGTTATTTCTCCCTCCTGGTGGACCGGGGTCTGCTGCGTTGACTTGTGCACTTAGTACACAGCGTCAAAAGGAACGGCGAGAGAAGGAAACGAAAGGCAACAAGCGAAAAAAAGTATGTGTTTTTTTTTTTTAGGATAAAAAAAAAAGGTAGTTTTTAATCAGACTTTTTTTTTTTATTGTTGAAAGAAAGAACGAAAATTTAAAATAACTAACTCGAGCGTGTTTTCAAGTTCGGTAAGTAGCTCTCTGATTTGGTTCCAGATCTCTCTGAGTTCCGCTATCCTTTCTTCGGTGGTGAAGTTTCGTAACGGAATTTTGAAAACCTAAAAAAGGGAGTAGTAACTAAACTTTCTGTGTCTTGGGTTTCTACGCACGATGAGGCCCCCAATTGTCAGGGTGGCAAGTCTCTATATGAGCCTGTAAGGTCTAGACTTACTAGGTTCGAGGCCCTGACTGCTATTTCTCTGGTTACGAGGAATAGGTATGGTAGTAACACTACAAGATGTTTCACAAGGGATATCGAGACGGGTAAGTACTCTAATCCTTCAGCGTGATTTTGGAGAGATAGCGGCTTACCGAGGTTTTCGGTTGAAGGTTGGTCACACCTAAGCCGGTTCGGATCCTACTAGACAAGTCTAGAAGGTAGCCTGTTGGGAACAGGGATCTCGTCAGCTGAGCGATGACGGATCAAGATCAATAGACCAGAAGAATTCCAACTAACTAGTAGAAGGATGGAGCCTTATCCAGGCGTGGACTTCGAGCTGTTGGCTAGGATTAAGGACTGGGAAGCAGAGGCTCCGGAGGCGATAATCCAAGGGAACTAACAGGAATACGGACAGATAAGGGGCTTCAGTATGAAGCAGAGAACTGATTAGATAAGCGTAGGGGAAAGGATTTCCTCAGGCTTCAGGATCAAGAGTGGAACTAACGGGTGATTCTAAAGATTCTAGAAAACGAGTATAGTTGGGCTCTTGACAGGTGTTTTCGGGATAGAAAGATCTATACGAAAGTAAGTAAGTTGAATCAGATGCCTTCTCTTCTTCCTGTCGAGAAGGTCGTATTTATACCCTTTCTCTCGACTGCCAGCTTGTGGTTGCTGATATGCTGCGTTTGAACTTGCTTCGTGGGCGCCCACGTTAGTTAGTTGGTTGGTAGGAACGGCTCCTGTTGCCTCATCTGTTTGAAGGACATTAGGTCGAGAGGCTCGTCGTCTCTTCTACGGCTGTTGATTTCATCTCAGCCTCCTTCCCTTTTGGGAAGGGTGACTTATGTCTTGTACTCGTGCTAGGGGCCTTGGAGTCTTGTGGGTTTCACACTTGGTATTCCTTCGTGATGTGGTTCGCGGTCTTTGACACTAGACCTATAAGTTGTAATTCTTTCATTATGCTTTTATTGGGTTTGGGGTCTTTGAAACTAGACCTTAAGTTGTATCTATTTTTATGTTATTTATTAATTATTGCTCAATCTCTTCTTGGAGTACCTTTGGCTCTTCCATCGGAAGGCTCGGGTGCTGACAAAATATATGATTTGAAAGATAATGAAATGAAGATTATAAATCAACTTTGATAGCCTTGATTACTAATAACTTCAATAATAATAGTGCCTTTGACCAAAAACTCGAGTTTTCACATAATTTTTAAATTTTTTGCTTAAGTAGAGATCTTGCTCACCACAACGTGTGAAAATGCTGAACATATCAAAGCCTTTGCCGACTTCAAGATGCGCAACCAATCTCTATTTGGCCTTCGCAGGAGGTTAAATCGGCCCCACACCAATCTTCACCTCGATCCTACTGCAATAATGATGGATGACACTGGCGAAGCAGACATCACCGAAAAAGCACTAATGCTTGCCGACGTCGAGGAACGCGAGCACGAAAGCGCTCGAGATGGTGGCGAATCCAATAAATTCAAAAAACCTGTGATTATAGCACATAGTAAGACACATAACAAGCAGCTGATGGTTGCACCTTGTGGGATGATCATCGCACGAAAGACGTTTTACAAATCCAAAGGAGTTTCCAAAGTGAAGGTACAGCAAAGCTTACATTCTCTTTTGATCATTCTATGTTTTGTTAATTGCTTCATTGATCATTCAACAGGACTGGATCCGAGAAGTATTCCCTAAAGAAATGCCACAGGTTGTATTTTATGACAATGCGTGCGGGCTTTACTCTCATATACAAAGCAGCAAAGAAGATCGCGAAGCATTTCGCAACACCCTCCTCCCTGTCGACGCTTTCCACATCAAGTCTCACAAGGACTCTCATAAAACCTGCAAAATCAACAACGACCCAGAACTTTTTCCAGAACTCAAAAGAGGTGGCAAGTGGAAATTCAATTCCTCAGCTGCAGAGATCATCAACACCTGGTTTGGAAGCTTTGATTCTATTTGTTGGAACATGACTCACACAAAGTACAATTTCTTTTTGGAAGAGATGATACTTTTACATAACGAGCGCTTGCTCGAAAGATTAAAAACCAAGAAAGGGATGGTTTTCTGCGGAAATGTTGATTATCAGACTTATACTAAGCCCACAGTCCCCGTAACAACAAGTTAGACTATTCATAAGTAGACTTCACATTTGCTTTATCCTTTGTTCATGTTGTCCATTTGCTACTCTTTTTGTTACAATCATCCGCGATAACGTTTTTTTTTTCTGTGTAATTAAGTTGCCATGCCGTTTACTTGTTTGTAGTTCTCGTCCGTTTACTTGTTTGTACTTCTCATAAATGATGATCAACACATGAACATGCGCAACTCATCCGCTGCAGGATCTTGCTTTTCACATTCTAGATGTCAAGTTCCGACAACTTACTTGCCATTTGAAAGCGATCACGGTCTTACACGGATAGACAATTCTTCACTCTTACGGAAAGTGTGATGTCATACGGAAAGTGTGATGTCATAAGGAAAGTGTGATGCACTAACAAGCGTACGAGGTGGTCAATTGTATAAAGTACAAACGGACTCTCTCCTCTCTCTTTTCATTCCTCTCACTTTCTCATTCTCAGATTGAGCATCAAACTTCTTTCTTTGTTAACCAACAAATCACCGTACCAATGCCTTCCCCGTCGATCATTGATGCAGATGCGGGTACGTACAAACGCACTCTCTCCTCTCTCTGGTCAATCCTCTCACTTCGTCATTGGCATCAAACTTCTTTCATTGTTAACCAATGAATCACCGTACCAATGCCTTTTTCCCTTTGATCATTGATGCAGATGCGGGTACAACCCCTCCCACCTTACTCATAGAGGCCAACAACAGCGACCAGAAAGGCAGCGTAGCTTGGTCTGTCTCTGCCAACTCTTCTGCACATGTTGCCCCTACCGTGATCGATCTCACTGGTAGCGACCACGATCACAGCAGCGAAATTCTTCACGATCACAGCAGCAGCGATCTTCTTCCTCCATCCATAATCCGACCATTGATTTTAAACCCTAGTGGCGTTGTTCAACCTGACGAAGACCCCGTCCTTGCTGGCCTCAAAGATAGCATTCAAAGTATCAGTATGAACGAAGTATCGGGTACATTTTATTTGTCTACCTTCAATATGAGATATAAACTTACTGATATTGCTTTTATTCCCGAAGTTCCAAATGTGTCGACGCAGTCTCAATCCAACACAGAAGGTTTCAAAGTTCCGTACTACGAAGATTTGGAAAACTTGGGGGTGAAAGAGGAGGGTCGTCTTTACCGCGTAGAGGAAAAGACGTTTCAACAAGACTCGCCTTATTACGACGAATACGAATTTGTCTCCCTTTTGAAAGACAGCATCTACTACAAATGCTTTGACAAAGTCACGGTTAATGTCAGAGACAATGCTGATATGTACCATTGTAGGATCTATCTCGATCACCGAGAGGCCAAAGGTTGGTATTTTCTCAAATACGAAGACACGTGGGCCCGTTTGGAATCACAAGGACGCGCGCAATGTTTCGAGCGTGCTCTGAGTTCTCGAGACGCGAGAATGGTACTGGCTAGGTTTAAAGACGAACTTTTTAAAAGAACCAGGAACGAGCGCGGAAAGATCAACCCAGTGCACCTGCTATGGCACGGCCTTGCGGAAGCTATGAAGGTTAGTACCTAACTTCATTCATCTTTGCCACCGCCGTATTAACACCCTTTCCTTCCACTTCAGGTTCAGCCTTGTCATGTTGTGCAATGTGCAGGTTCCAAATACGAAGATGAACCTCGTTGGATGGTAATTGAGGGTGTCAACGAAGAGAGTACCCATCGCTTTATATACGAATATGGTTTTAACATTCAGCCGATGGAACCGCATAACTGGACAGACCTAATTAATGCATTTGTTCACTTCACTTACCAATTAAGTGGTGGCAAGTCTTTGATAGCCAAACTCAATGGTGACGCACGTGGTCAAATTACCAACGTGGTAATTTATGACAAAGAGTATGTTTTCAATTTCATACTTCAGAAAGGGCGTGCTAATTCTGATAAATACAACAATGCATTTAGGCGCCGCCCATTTCACAGCCAAACCAGTCAAGAAATGATGGATAAGATCAAGAATGTGTTTGAAGTGCACTTTCCTTACGAGCATAAATGCAATTTGATATGCCAACATATCGGCGACCAAAAGTTAATATAGTTGTTAGTGTCTTGTAGAAGTATTTTCCTTACAACCTCCTTTCTTTGTGTTTCGAAACCACGATCAACGTGCAATCTGACAACTCTTGTGTGAGTTAAACTTATCATCCTGTCATTTTGTGATTTTGCTGGCTTTGTATGTTCAGCTTTCGCCAATTTCAGCTTGTTTTTGGAGTTTGTGTCATCGAGCGATTCTGCTTATTCTAGTTTCTTATTCAAGCAATTGCAATCTTGTTTACGTAGACTTCAGTTAGAGAATTTTGCTCATTGCTTTTTTAATCTCCGTTAGATAATGTTGTTTATGAAGTTGCCTCTTGTGTTAATTACAATCTGTCGTTTAACTTTTAGTTACTATATTTATAGCAGCAAATCATTTTATGAGTGCATGTAAGAGAGCTGGCCTCCATGCCTGTCGTATCTGGAATGTAAAATAGTCAATGCTCATTGGTCTGCGATCATTTGATCGACCAGTGGATAGCTTATCCATCACTGCGTATCTTTCTCCACCTTATGCGTTTCCATATTGTCAAGTAAGCAGCGAAGAGCAAAGAGCTTTGACACAGTCCTTTGTATCCGAGTTAAATAGCAATCATGTTTCAACATATGGCACACACACTGTTATATATGTATATCAGGTTATACATGTCAGAGCCAATATATAACATTTCATGGTTGTTTGTCTCCTTGTAAAACAATCAATAACCAAAACGGATTCATTACTAGGCAGGAATTGAGAGAACAATGGAACAGTGACACTAAGTACAACACTAATTACAATAGTTGATGAAGATATGTACTGATGTGAAGGGTGGGAAGAATACAAAATATGAGGCATCAGCAAAAGTTGAAACATAACCAACTCTTCATTCCATTGAGTCTATCCTACGCTTCTTGTTGGGCTGGTTGTTGTCTGGTTCTTTGTCCGCCTGTTCGTTTTTGCGTCTGGTGTCGATCTTTTTCCACTCGTCATTAAAAACCTTTTGTGTTTCTATCAGGGAGGACGGTCCGTTGGTAGAAATGTAAGCACTCAATCGGTCGGCGTCTACACTATTCAGCCATCTTAGATTGTTGTTGACAGTTGTTTTTGAATATGCACGGTGTGAATGAGCAAAGGTCCGAATCCAAGCCTGTCTACTTGTAAGATTAAGTGGTGGTAGCATGGCATCCATCATTTTCTTGGCATCGGACATAGTCACGCCTTCAGGCCACTTGGGTTTAGTTGCCTCGGGTTGAGGCGCAGGCGTAGGCGTAGTATCTGATCCTCCTTCTTGGTCGTCCAACAAAGGTGACTTTGGAGGCGCGGTGTCGGTGTCCATGGCCACTTCTTGATGTGGAGCATCTTGAATCATATTGAGGCCGTCTTCTTCAATTTCCATAATTCCCTCATTGTCGTGCTCAGGTGCTTGTTGTGATGATTGGGAAGGGGTGTAGTTGTCCAAGTACAGGATTCGATTTTGAGGCGCGTTCTTGCCCTTGTTGATCCTGATTGGAGTGGGGCTACCGTTTACAAATGTAACATTATAGTCGGGGTTCGTAGGGGTGATGTACTGGTAAAGTTTGGTACGTTCTTTTGTGGATCGTGTCGTGACAGAGTCAATGTGGTATTGCGCGTCTTCACAGCATTCTCGTTTGGTGCCTGGTAGGATCACTAGAACCTTGCGGAATTCGACTGGGTACTTTTCCATGGTAGTGACCGCAGTCAATGCCTGTGAACAAAGATGTATTAGTTAGTTTATGGTAGTTTGATGGATGGACTTCACTGTTGAATGGCTTACCCAGCTTTGCTCCTTGTCATTCCAAACACGAACAGTTCGATCCCACAAAGGGCCGGAAGTTGCTTCGGCCAACTGCACCAACAAGCTACATTGGTCCAATCTGAATCGCGGCCAAGAGGGTGCAGGTACTCGCCAGAGATCTGGCGCTACGGAAGTCTGCAAAGGTCATTTCTTATCAGGCTGACGTTGCTGCTTACTGTGAGTAACGTATGACAACGGATGACATACCTCCTGGCCCTTTCTGGCCCAGAACAAGATGGATATCGTTTGGTTGACTGTTTCTTCGGCTGCATTGTTGATGCGTTCGTTGGCTTGATCCTGTATGTTGACATCGCGGAAATGGCGGAAGCCGCTTCTGTTGGTAAATTGGGCGTCCACAGTCTGCCCATTTCTGGCAACAGGTACTGGAGCGGGGAGGAGGGCAGGGTCCAAATTGTCTGTGGCGGTTGGACCCTTTGCCTTGGCCTTGCGACCCTCGTCGCCGTAAGGACCGTCCTTCATTTTGCAATTGCGCTGTGTCGTGTGTGGGCGGCAGCCAGCTGACTGATCGATCAGCTCGCAACACTATACAAATTGGACTTGTTAATTAGCTAAACATCGCGTAAGTTGTTTGATGGGAAGAAAAACCGACTGACCTCGGCGCACGCATTGTTCCTGCAGCTTGCATTCCTTCGTTTTTTGTGGCATTTGGGACAATCTGTCGATGAACCTTTGGGCTGCGGCATGAGTTGATTGGGGTGAGGTAGAAACTGGGCGGCGTCTCCTAGGTTCATGGCGAGTAGGGCGTTAGAAGAGGTATGCGTTGGGTTGTTTCAATGATTTTGAGATAGTGCTTTGTTGAATGCTAAGATTTCGGAGGTGAGTTTGGGGACAAAGTAGGCTCGATAGTGACCCTTATCGTATGGGCACTGCGTGTTATAAAGATGTGGTTAATTTTTGTGCAGCGGCTGTTTGTCATAACTCTACGGTGATATGCTCACCCTGACAGCAATCGTGGCGACAAGGCCTTGTTTCTTTGGTTTAAAGTAGGTGGTTGAGTGTGGTCGGTGATGACATAGGTCCGAAGAGCAGAGAAGGCTGCTGTCTTTTTTTGCTTTAGGTAGAGGGAGTGGTAGCTGTGGGTTGAGCGCGATCAACGTGTAAGGTTTGGGGATTTGGTTTTTTGGCATGGGGAAAAGTTGAAAGGTTTTGTTAGTGTGATGAATGCGAGTTAATCAATAGCACAAGGGAATAAGGAAGGGTGACGAGCTTACTTTATGTTAAGCTTGCGGGAAACGGATTGCTATTGTACTCGATTATTAGTGATCGAACACAAAGAATCGAAATGTAGAATTTTGATCGGCGGGTTAATGGTGGGTGATCTTCGTTGTATTTCTACCTTCGCCATGTGTGTGTGCCCAGATGGTACCTATCGGGAACATGGTATCCTGTCAGTCCTTTTTCGGAGGTCACGATAATGGTACACCGAAACGAGTATGTGGGAGGCTTTGCAATGACGGATGAGGAATTACAAAATAACACTGCGTTGACGGATTGGTAATTACATATAGCTGTAGTATCAAACGTACTGACCCGCGACCCGCGACCCGCGCTGGTCAGGATCTTTGCACAGCGCTGCTATTGCTCACCATATTCCCATCTGGGAACCTCTTTAATGCTGGCAGTGCCCCCTATATATATGAGTCCCTCATTGGTTGTCTTAACCAAGGCACGACTTAAGACTTAGGTCCATGACCTTAATAGTTCTAAGTAAGTGAGGTGCCTGTACAGGGTGCGAGATCCAAAAATTCTGATCAAAGTTTTCAACCTCGAAAAACTTTCACACCCGCACCAGAAAAATTTAGTTTTAGAACCTTGTTGATCACCAATCCTCTCAAGAAATTTTATATATTCCAAATTCAAAAATTTTTTTACCTCCCACCCACCCAGCTGGAAACGGACCTGTGCCACCCCCCCAAAAAACCGAAGTTTTTTAACCGGGGTGGAAATGGTGGCGCAGACCCGGGACCGGGCTCCCCCAAACGACTCCTATCTCAGTCTGGAAAAAACAGACCAAGGTAGGAGTATCTTACGGTAGGTATATATAAAAATAGACAGCTCTATCGCAAGAGCTTAAGAGAATGGAAGGGACGCAATGGTCCACAGCTTCTTGTTGGCCGTGATGGAAGTCTTTGAGTGACTCCCCATCAAACCATACACAATTGCCATCCAAGGACTCATCATCCATGTTGGCAACACTACAACAGAAACATACAACCTACACTCAGTCACAGAAAGTAAATGTCACTCCACCAGGCCAGCACAGGCCAGAGCTACTAAAGGGGTGACATACCTTCTGTGACTACTTGTACAGATATCCTGATTTGTATCTGAGAGCGCTTTCTAGCAAGCACCTTTCTGTACTTCAATATAAACTCCCTTTGAAATCACTGAGTACTTCCACTTAAAAAGTCCTGTTACATAAAAAATGTGATCCAACTATAACAAGTACAATTGTAACATGCAAAACTGATCAAAATTCAAAGTAATCCCTTTACCTTGGTAAGTAAATACGTCCATATAGTAGAGAGAAAAAAAAACCAAGCAATACAAATGTGATGAAAGAAAACAAACGTTTCGATGAAGATAGAGAAAAGACCATCTATGAAAAATTCTATTTTTCAAACATGACTGATAGATGTTAAAGAAGTAGTTCCACCTCTAGATTGACGAGTACGTAATAATTCTTGAACATCTTGAGCTGATAAACCTGATTTTAAAAACTCATGACCTGATCTATAATCACGTGTATCAAGTAATGGAATATTAGAAGTAGAAAAAATAAATTCGGATGGATCTGGTGGTGCCCAAGCTCTAGATGGAATAAACAGAAAAAAACGGGCATGAGTCAACCTTTTGGTGATTTTGGGATATAAGGACTTTTGGAAAAGACTAACGTGATTTCTGCAAGTTCTGGAGCAATTAAATGATGACAAAAGTGATCCATATCTAAATCATTCAAATCTAATTATAAAAAACACATCATGTATTAGTCATTCTTATCCCAAAGATAAAAGTAAAGAAAAGTTAGAAGACAAACCGTATCCAAATGGATTTTCAATTTCTTCACCAACTCTCAAAAATCCAAGAAAAGCAGTTCCAACTAGAGCAGTAGCCGGGATAGTAATAAATCCAAAAGAAGTTACAAGTTGGAATGGCAGAAACAAAAGATAACCCCAAATGACTAATTTCAAATGTACAATATAACCAAATGGAATTGGAGTGGTCAAAATCCTTTCTAAAGTCGTTAATGCATCTGTTAGAAGTTGGATACCAGCTAGGAGTGCATTTGTGGTAGGTACACTGTATGGGTAGCGAAAGTGAAAGAGTCAGCGTTGGGGTCGATATATGGTTTTAAAGTGGATGAAACTTACTCTAGAGCTTTACGACGTTGGAGTCCAGCAACATAACTATCAATATACCAAATGATCTCAAGCGGGATATTATCATCATGTATCACTCGAGAATAAACTCCTTTCCGACGACGTAGGCCAGCAACATTTCGTGTACCCTGATTAAAGTCTCAAACACTTTAGTCCTCATCTCGGTATATCTGTTGAGAAAAGCGTTTTACCTTCCAGAGGGCTCGAAAGATGGTCAAGATCGGGAATCGATCAACCCATCGCTCATGAGGTGGGTTATAAGCTGGTAAGAGGTAATGATGAGGTTTGAAAGGATTGAGAGGCGCAGTTCCCTTGCGTTGCATTGGACGATTGTCTTGTTGAGCTTGAGGTAGCTTTGGCTCAGAAACTTTTTCATTGTCTACCTGATGACCAGCTTCAAACATAGAAAGGTCTGTTTGAGGTGTCTCAATCCCTCCGACCTGTTTCAAATTGTCGTTGGGTTGCCCCGTACATCCATTAATTGAAGGAGAATTTTGAGCACAGTGGGCAGTAGTGAAGCCTAAGTCGGGTCTCTCGACGGGATGTCCAGACGGAAAAGCATACTTGGGTAAGAAACATGCTAGATCTGATATTGAATAGAGTTCAAATACTTCAGTAAGGGAATCGTCAACTCTTGACACTAGCACACTGGTACGTACGGTATAAATCCTCGTAGTAAATCCCATGTTCTAATGGAAGAATACGATCGTATGGTGCTCATTCAATATCAAGGACACCATAAAAGTTGGAATATAAGTTTGATACCCAAACTGACCGCCACGGAGGTAATGCTTTAAACTAACAGCGAACCCTTCAATCAAGTTGATGATAGTTTTCTTCTCAATAATCGACCTCAGACGCTATAATCAATTCCATTCGACAATGTAAGCAAGTATCTTTGGGCTGGTGAGAATTCGTTCATGAAAAACTTGAACCACAAACTTCTTCTTCGGTTGGAAGGTCTTTCGGATCATACGGTCTAGGTGCATCAGGAACATGAAGCCAGATGAGACGAGCAAGGGACCGTCCACCAAGGATGATCGAGGACCATTGCTTTCGACCATCGTTATATCGCTCATATGCACCTATTCATAGCGACATCAAATTTCAGTCAGTAACAAGTGATTAAAATGTCAAGATGATGAGTCCTACTTGAAGTTCGATAAGATACTACGAAACCAATCACAGTTCCTATAATTCAAAGTTTTACGCGATTCATGATTGAGATGGAGGGAATTCCACATTATCAGTCCTCGATTTGGTGACGAAATCCATGCTTTTACGCGAAAAAACGTACCGAGTACAGTCAATATGGTTGGTGACTAGATTAAGTAACATGATGCAAGAGTTATCAATTTCAGGAAGAATCGAATCGAATGGCGTGTTTTAAATCCAAGTTCAGGTGACTGACCAGTTGAAGTGAAGTTACATTCCGATGTATAAGGATAACGAGAGTAGCCCAGGCCGTGAAAAAGGTAATCTGTTATCCGATTCGATAAAGCATATCTAAATCAATACAAGGTATCACGCGTTTACAAAGTCATCTCGAAACCAACTCACGCTAGGCCAGATGGTCCAGATGGTAAACGCCTTTACAAAAGAAAGTGCTGAAGGACTAACGAAAGAGTAAAACAGATAAGTATTTGATTCGAGTTGGGATTGAAGGGATATGGATCTTACGCTCGAAATGGATTCAGTAATATTTGCTCTCTTTCCGTTTCTCTTTTGTGATGAAATGGCGTCTGAGCTGGTGCCAATGGATGAGCAAGTGTAGGTAGTTGTTGATGATTCACTGAAGACATGACCTCAAGAAGGCCTGAAAACAGTCAAACTTGTGGAGTGTAAAAAATGGTCAAGGGTGGTTGATGTCCGATTTAGAACGTTGCACTTCAAACCCTCTTGCATGAAGCTAGGTGGGGAGATCGTCCCAGTTCACTGCGGCTCACAGGTGTGGCAGGTAGACGCAAATCAGCCAAAGAACATCGTCGTGCATCTACCAAGCCCACATTAACTTTAAAACGTAGAGGTTCATGTACTTAGTTTCATTTTGTAAATTCAATGCTTTGACTATGTGCATGCATACTGTTGGTTGAACTCTGGGTAGCTCAAATCCCGCAATGACACTGGGTATCATAGCCATCATGAAGACCTCACCTGGAACATCCTGGAACAGGTTGATCGAAAGAGTGTTTGAAGCTATGGTGCTGGAAAGTCTGGACTCCGAGAGGATATCCGGGTTGATTGGAAGGCAACTTAGACCTCGCATGCCGCATCTTGACAAATCTGGATTCTGCAGGGGAGACCTTCTGGAAGTGGGAAGATGGCTTCACTTGCCACAAGCTTGATACCATGATGATGTATTATGTAGTGGAAAGGTAAATAAACAACTCCTAATTTCAGCACTGAAGCTCCACATTTTATCATCCAGTTATTTCCTCTTCAACCCATGACCTGAATTGCAAGTTGGGTATGTTATTCGGCTCGGACCAAGTAAAAATGACCTTGTCTTGAGGCGAAAGATTGAAAAGTTATTTGAAGTCGACGGCACGGTGCACCAGTGGCCGAGCAGGGGGAAAAGTTGAGGAGGGAGAAGGCGTGCTCTCAAATCCCGATGTTCATATTTCGCATTCACGAGACTATCCGGTCCACACTTGATGAGCGGTACCGAGAGCTTACGGTCTGAGAGGTGTGGTGAGTGCTCCAAATAGGTTTCGCGCAGCACATACCGCTCGCACCAGTGTAGCGAACCAGCATACCTCACACATACAACCTCTTTGGACTCAGCCGATAGCACCTACGATTCACGCCCGTCCGATTGGTCACCCTTTTCATCATGGTTAGTCTTCCTTCAAACTACGAAGTCTTACTTTCAAACACTGTCACGAAGGTCTTCCTTTCAACACTTGAAAAATGCCACGCCCTGAAATCAAGAAAAAGCAAGCTATCAAGAGACTCGATTTTCATACTTTACAAATATAGCCCTTCTATGATCTATGATCTTGAAACCCCTTCGCTGGCCTTCTCTACCTAGAGATATATCGATCTTTATTACGGTGGCTGATGAGACATGAATCACCTTACTCTTCATTTTCAGGATCCCTCCGGTTCAGTCACAGTTCGCACCCGAAAATTCCTTACTAACCGTCTCTTACAAAGAAAGCAGATGGTAGTCGATATCATTCATCCTACTCGGGCCAACTTATCTAAAGATGAACTCAGGGACAAATTATCAGCCATGTACAAGGCTCCTAAAGAACAAGTGATTGTCTTTGGTTTCCGAACACAATTTGGTGGTGGAAAGAGTACTGGTTTTGCTTTGATTTATGATAACAAGGAAGCCTTGAAATTTGAGCCTAAATACAGGCTTATCAGGGTACGATCTCTTTCTCTATTTTTCTCTAGGAAAGTAAAGCGTGATCGTTTGACTTATCTTGCTGTTGTTTTCTTTAGTTTGGAATGGCAGAGAAGAAACCAGCAGTTGCCCGTAAACTCAGGAAAGAACGAAAGAACCGTGCCAAGAAGTTAGTTATCATTCACTCTCTTTGTCTGTTCCTTTTCAAACCCGCTGATTCGATCACCTTTTTTCACTTAGGTTCCGTGGTACACAAAAGAAGAAAGCCGACGCAAGTGGCAAGAAGAAATAGATATAGAAGCATTGTTAATCTCAAGGCTGTTCTACTATGCTATATTTCTATGTCCTATGAGGTCCTTGAATGCCATCTGGCTCAAAGGATCGGTTATCTCTTCCAGATCTTGGCTTTTGTGCAACTATTCTGTACACAGTTTTTACACGCTTTGTTGCATTCTTGGACAGATAACTACAGATCCTTTTCTCGCGTTACGCGTTGAGGTGATCGGGTCTAGGGGTAGGAGGTCTTTGCGAGGTCCGATTGAAAAGACGGCTTGCTGCCATGGTTTCGTCATCATCATTGACTTGAATCGAGTTACCCGATCTATTCGCCAATCATCCTCCCAAGCCTGCTTGACTCTACATCTCAAAGGATTGAAATATCCTTCATATAGGTCTTGATGCGAAGTCTGCAGTGTGTGTGGAATCGCGATTTGAAGATGTAATTGGCATCCAATCATCTTGCCAAAGTGTAGCTCGACCAGGCCTCATGACCTCTATTAGCGTTTTATACTTTGAAGGCATTCTTTCTTGAAAGGTGCAAAACGGGATGAGTTTGTGTAGTCATCCAGTATAACAACAGTTGGTCATTTATGAATTGCGTGTAGTACAACAACCTGCATAAATACCCATCAAGCCTTTTGTTTTCAAGTTCATCTTGGAACTTGTATCAATCTTTCTGCTTCTCTTTTCATAATTGATGAAGCCAGATCTACATAGCAAGATAATTGGGGTGTACGTCTAAAGAGGTTTTCTATCTGTACCCAATGTGTTTCCAAAGTGGAGAGTTTCAGTCTCACCTACGAAAAGAACCAACATTATGACGTCGTCTGAAGTGGATTATACGACACTGGGCTTTCAAACTATTAAAATCGAAATCAAAGGTTATATTGCCATCGTTTATTTGAATAGACCCACTTCACATAACTCATGGTAGGTCTTTACCTAATTGAACCTCAGATGATGCATGAAATCAGTCATACTAAAGTTTTTGGTTTTGATTTTAAACGACTTCAGGAATGTGTTAATGCAGGTAAATCAAGTTGAAAAAAGTCTGTAACAATCTCAAAATATCGTATAGATCTGATCTGATATGTTCCGGATCGTTCGAAAATAGGAAGAGTTAGTAAAAGTATACGGTTTGATAGATGAAGATAATCGAATCAAAGTAATCATCTTAAGTAGTATACCAGTAGGACGACATTTTTGTGTAGGAGCAGATTTATCTAACAGTGATTTTTCAAATCGTGGTCAAACAAATCAGAATGGAAATTCAAAATATGAACCCGAAGGTAAGTCTTTTTTAAAAACTTTTTGTGATCGATTTCGATCTATTTCTGATTTTCTTCTTCTTCTCGGCATTTACAGAGCATAGGGATACTGGTGGAAAGGCTGCATTAGCTATTTATCGTGTCAGGAAACTTACTATTGCAGCTATTAATGGTGATGCTGGTTAGAGTTTCGATCTTTTTATTGTGTCATGCGTAAGACGAAATGAGAAAAGATCATGGATCACTGCTGATTCGATTTGTTGTCCATAGTGGGAATCGGGATCACGATGGCACTTGCGGTGAGTTCGTAATCTTCGCAAAATCTTGCTAAACTTGAATCCAGACTGAGAATCATTAATTCTTATCTTTTTTATGACCATTGGGTATTTCTTTACTCTGAAATCCAACAAACTTCGATCATATCTTGAAAGTTTGATATTCGAATCGTTTGGTCGGAATCTAAAATCGGGTTTATCTTTGCAAAACGTGGTATAGCACCAGAAGCATGTAGTTCATTCTTCTTACCAAAACTAATTGGTTATTCAAAAGCATTAGAGATCTTCCTTACAGCCGAAATCATACCTGCTCATCATGCTTCACTTAAAGATCTTTTTTATCAACTAGTTGAGAATCAGAATGAAGTTTTACCCACTGCTTTGAATTTGGCTGAAAGGTTATGTAAGAACAACAGTGTGATTTCAATGGTTGCAATCAAAGTTGAGTTTCTTATATACTCCTGTTAATGAATTTCAATGATATTAAAGATGATTCCTTTTTTTTGAAATTTCATAGCAATTAGTTTGGCATTCATATTCAACACCTGAAGAACAACATTTAATTGAATCTGAATTTTTAGTTAGATTAGGTAATTCACCTGACAGTATGGAAAGTGTAAAGGCTTTTAAAGAAAAAAGGAGAACGTATTATCTATCTAAAGTACCAGATGATTTAGTGATTGAACCTTGGTGGAAAAATATTGATGTACGTTCTCGATCTGAGTGTAAACCAAAGCTATGAACCTTGGTGGAAAAATATTGATGTACGTTCTCGATCTGAGTGTAAACCAAAGCTATAATTCTTGAGTGTATCAATTTTCTGTACCTTTCAATTTTTTGATTGTAATCTGTTATAGCAATCATTGATTGATGATGTTTTTCTTGAAAGATTTTAAAAGTTGTTTCAGTAAGCTTGATGGAGTATTGTCTATTGCTTTTTAAGGTTATGATGACCAAAATGATCATCTAAAAAGGTTTCAAGGTTGAATGATACATTTTGATCCTTAATAAATGTTGTACTGCATGATCATCACTATCTATCAATACTGCACTGCAAAGAAAACTTCAAGATCTGAGTTCATGTGGATTTTTATGGCTTGTGAAATTTATGAGTTCATCAGGTTCTTGTCAAGCTGAAGCAATCATGTACTTACAAATGTTTTCTTTTGCACTGCTTCCAATAAACAAACATGAGAATTGAAAACTTTAACTTCTGGTCCGAAAGCTCGGGGACCGGGACGTCTCGGTCCCCGGGCCAGGTTCGATCAGGAGTTAAACAGTGGGCGGGGTCCAGATCGGCTATTTTAAATACCCGTGATCGAAGAGCTGTGTCACTGTTACCATAGAAGTCAAGACTTTCAGGAGCAAGACCAAACCTCAAGATGTTATAAACAAGCAACAAATTGAATTTCACAAATCCGATACTCATCAACCAGACCACAAGAAGACCAAGTGAACTAGAACCAACAAGAACGAAAGAAAGAAAGATTACAAAAAGTTTTGTTTAAGGAAAAAGCTTTCGACTTTCAAATGACATCATCAATAAATCAAGAACAAAAAGAAATCATTAATTCGTTTTTATCGATTACCAATACTACTAATTATGATTTAGCAAAATCAAGATTAGAAAGTGTTCAATGGAACTTAGATGTAAGTAAACCTTACATGCTTTTTTAAATCTATCCAATAATCACTCAACAATCAAAAATCTAATGAGGTTTTTTAATCTTTTGGGGGGGTTGGGTATGGTTAGTTTGCAATTTCTAGTTTCTTCGATTCGAAACCACCGATTTCTAGTTCTACTTCTAGTTCTAATTCTTTAAATCAAATCAATCATTATACGAACTTTAATACAGATGATTCAGAACAAAATGATACTTTAAGAAATTCAAATCGAACGAATCCTAATAAAAAGATTAATAAATCTTTTGATCCTATTAAGAGTAAAAAATCATCTAGATGGTTTGGGTTTATTTTCAGGGTGAGAATTTTCTTCATTTTTTTGGGCGGATTAATGTATCAAGATCATCGATTTTTTCTTTTACAATTTCTGATGTTTTTTTGCTTTTTCAATTTTAGTTATGGACAGGTCCTTTACGATTCTTAGCAGTACCGGTTTCATTAGTAGCAGATCTGACCTTAACCTTTGTAGGAATGTTTGGTAAGCACTCTTTTGAAACCCACCACCAGATCGTCATGATTTTGTTCTAATTCGATCTTAATACAATTTGAACATGTTTTTTGTTTTGTATACAGCAAGACTAGTTGGACTTAGATTACCATCAAGTTTACTTTATTGGTCACGATCCAAACCCAATGAATCCACCCGAACTGATCCACGTACATGTGCCGAAAGATGGATCAGAGAACTAGAAGAAGAACTCCAACTTGAAGGGGTTTCAAGTCATTCTTCTCAAGTTTCAAGCTCTTTATCTACCACGACATCTAGAAGAACTCCTATGATGAATCGTGATCGACGATTACCTGATTTCTTGGTCCTTGGGTATGATGAAGCTGTAAGGAAAGCTAAAGAAGAGCTCAAGATTCTTATGGTCGTTCTTGTTAGTGAAGAACATGATGATGTGGCTGAATTTAAGCGGTAGGTCATCGATCAATTCATTAGTTAGGTTTCGTTTGACTCGGTTTATATGATTACTGAGCTTTTGAAACTCTTGAATTAGGACCACTTTGACAAATGATGAATTACTTAAAACGATTCGACGTCATAATATCTTGGTATGGGGTGGTGATGTACGTGATCGGGATGCTTGTCAGGGTAAGTAAGCCGACGAAATTCGATCACTTGACCTTTCTCAATCACTTGGAATAGAACAAATGATCTGATTCTATCAATCCTCTGTTCTGATTTATCTGATCCAGCTGCCCAGAATCTGGAGGTGACCACATACCCTAGTATTGCGTTTGTTGCACTTCAAATAAGACAACCGGTTCTAGGTACCGGATTTGGTGTGAGTGCCACTCGAAACGGGAGCAGTACTCAACCTATCATGAGCATGATTGCAAGATTATCAGGATCATGTGAGAATGGAACATCACCTAATACGATCAACAAGTTGATCACCGAAACTATTGTTCCAAGAACCCAAGGATTCTTTCAACATTTAAGAAGCGAAAAAGACAAAAGGGAATCTGAAAGAAGGTTAAGAGAGGAACAAGATCGAGCGTATGAAGAAGCCGGAAGAAGAGATCAAGAAAGAGTTTTGGCTAAACAGATTGAATTAGAACAAACCGAATTGAAACGTAAAGAAGAGACACAAAAGGTTTTATTATTAAATGAACAGAGAGAAAAGAAAGTATTGGAAGAAGAGAAGAGATCGGTATGGAGAAGATGGGCATCGAAAGAAGTTTTACCCCAAGAACCGGATGTAAGGATCACTGAAGGTGTATTAAAGATTGGATTTAGATTAGGTGATGGAAGACGAATTGTGAGAAGGTTTTTCAAAGACACTAGTCTTGAAAGTTTATATACATTTGTAGAAATCGAATCATCATCAACAACAACAACAAGAGGAAAAGAAAGTAAACCAACTGAAGAAATTAAAGAAGAAGATTATCAATCGATCTTGAAGGGATATAAACATGAGTATAGGTTTAAATTGTCAACTGCTATGCCTAGAAGAGTTTTAAGTTTAGAGGATCGAATGAGTATTGAAGAATTTGGTGGATTGGATGGTGCTAATATTAATGTGGAAGGTAGTTTTGTTGGATCTGATGAAGAATCTGAGGAAGAAGAAGAAGAAGAAGAAGAAGAAGATTAGAATGGTTTTGGTTTGGTTTTTGTGGTTTTTTGGTTTTTGTGGGTTTTAATAGTTTTGATTTGTAGATTCGAATGAGGATTTGGTTTTGAGTTTGATTGAATTTGAATTCGAATGTAAAAATAGATTTTAGTGTTGAGGATGGATGAGTTTGAAATTATTAAAAAGCAATTGAGAAAGAAACCCATCAGATTGAGTCACTGTCTACCAATTGAAGTTGAGTACCCCTAACTAAGTCTATCTGGATTGGTTTTCAATGAAATGATCAAGTGATGGTTTTCAAGGATGAAGTGTATGCGTTCCAAGTCAAAATGGAGATTAAGATTTCAGTGATCTCTACCAAATTACCATTCACCTCATTACCATTAGTTTACCATTACCAGCATCTTCTATAAAAACTTATCATCATCCTAGAATGTCTCTTGGTCCAAAGATTTTAAATTATATTCATCATCATAGGCTTACTCGTGATGAAGAATGGACACTTGAATTAGCAAGTGAATTGATTCAACAAAGTTTTTTAAAATCTAGTTCAGTTTTATCATTCACAGAAAATCAAATCCAACTTGATCTTGAAAACCTTTGGAACGGTTTAGATTCAAATACGCAAGATTTAAATCAGATTATAGGTGATCATTGGTCGATTTCAGTTTTACAGGTTAATCAGATTAAAGAATGTTTGAAAGAACTTAGGAAACCTTTGAGTGATGAAAATGTTCAATTGTTTAATGGTAAGTCAAAATGCAATTCGATTTCAAATCAACATTCTTTTCTTGTTTTGCGGCGATGGTACCTGGTTCATTCTGATTGGATTGTTTTGGTTTTGTAGATGATTTATTTTATCAAAAGTTTCCTTACCTAGAAGATGATTTTTTACTTACTTTTACTTCAATTAAAACTAAAAGAATTCAATCTAAACTTATAAAAGATCAACTTGGAGTTAACAAACTTTTAGATTTCAAAGAAGGAAAAGGTTCAGTCAAATTCTCTTCTGAAGAAGATTTGATGGTAGAGATTTCAACTGTAGAAGAATTGATGTACGTTCTTTTTACTGTGTTCTCTTGAATTATTGTGGCTTCTAGGCTGATGTGTTTGTATCTTTTATTAGGGATATAGAACCGATTTATGACCTTGAACAGGTTATTAGTGAGAAAGAAAGGGTTTTAGAGCCATGGCTCGGATCTGAAGACTTACCAATCGAATTCAGAAGTCTATTACTCGAAGAAAGCTCAACTATAGAAACCCATATACCTGTAGGTTACGTTTTCCGTAATGCTTTAGATAATTCTTTGGTAATCAAGTGGACTGAAAGTTATTTGTTTGGTATTCCTTAGACTTGTCTGACTCCTCCAATGATGCCTAGAGAAGATGAACAAAAAGGAGTGAATTTGATCAATCAACCTACAGAAATGGCTCGGTTGGTGATTAATAGTATGGAAGAAATGGAGATGACAGATTCTCAACCCGAGCTTTCGAATGATATATGGGATGAGCTAGGTTCGTAAAACTAATTGATCCACTTTGAAATCATTCTCAGAGCGAAACCTGATAACTTTATAATAGAGCCATTCCCTTCTTTCTCAGTTACGCCACCATCAAGTCCTGCAGTTCGAAATAAAGAAAGGCCTATAAAGGTTTCAGATGAATGTTTAATACCGAAAGAAAATGAAGATGTTTTAAATTTAGTAAGATCAGACAAACCGATTTTAGAAACTATTCTTTTCCCACTTAAACATCAACATTCAAATAATAGATCAAATTCATTTGATCCATCTTTATACCTAAACTTAAGGCCATTCAGACCACTTCCATCAAAGAATCAAAAACATGGTAATAAGAATACTTTGGAATTCATGGATGTAGAAGAGACAAATAGTCATCAAGTGCTTATTGAATTGGAAACATTTTTAGAAAAATTTGATCATGAAGGAGATTATGAGAATGAGAGGTTTGAAATCCCTAACATCAACACGGGTAGTTCTCCAAAGCGCATTAAAATCAATGGTAAGGTTTTCTCAATTTGACAGTCTTAAGAAGTACAAGTGTTTTATTCTCAACTTACTTTGATCTTCTCTTATCTTCATATCAAGCTACGAAACCCGAATCACCACCTATGAGACGTAATAGCATTACTGGCATTTATCGACCCAGATTGCAAGACTTTGGACTTTCAAAAGGAGACCGACCAAACGAAGATGGAAAACAATGGTACTTACCTCTAGAATTCAACAAAGTGGAAGGATTAAAGTCACTTAATATTGATTTATCATGGACACCTTATACACTTCCTGAACCATTAACTGTAGAAAGATTAATAGATGTAGAAGAAGCGCCTCAAGGATGTATTGCAGAAATTAGTTCAACTGATAGTTTTGAAAAAGATTTAGGAGATAGTAGATCATCGATTTTATTTGATCAAGAAAATATGATTGAAGTATTAGAGATAGATCAAAAATCAAAACAAGATTTTAAATTAATAGATTTCTCTTCTTGCTCGAATTCATTTCAACCCATCATAAATCATTCAAAAGTAGATAATATTTTATATGATGAATTGAATTCTAAATCAGAATCAGTTATTGAAAGTTATTCTATAGCAGAAGAAGAAAGTTTAATAACTTCAAAGATTGAACCTACAACGGAAAATGGTTTTGTTTCTGATGATGGACGAAATGTGAGGTTTCAAGAAATCGAAATTGATGATGATAGTCCTTCAATTATGTCACTTCATATGAGTGAAGGGATCAATAATGATGATAGATCAGATTCGATTCAATCAATTTCTCCTATACCAGAACTTCATACTCCAGAAAGGCATGTTACACCGTTATCAACTTCAGTTCAAAATCCAATCAGACAAAAGGAGTTTGATCCAAATCACTATGTGGATTATTATCCTAGCTTTTTAGATCATCATACAAAACCTGCTCCACTGGGTGCTTCAACAAGCAGTGAAAATGTATCATCAAGAACCCGTTTGGAAGAAAAGATTGATTGTGAGTCGGTGGTCATTAAAGTTTACATTTCATTGTTTTTTATGAAGTTCTGATTTTTATCAAACATTTGGAAAGCCACAGACGATGAGGAGGAAGCGCGAGTGATTGGTGTCAGTGATCATGAGATGGAGGTTAGCTAACACGAACTCAGTCTCACTGATTGTGATTTCATATAGATCGACTAACCTACATTGCACCCATTAAGAAAATACCAGTTGAACTTTTCCATGAAGGAGAATCAAATGAGAACATAATCCACGATGAATCAACAAACCAATTTGATACTATATCACTTTCAATTGTAGAAGAAAACGAAATTCTTGATAATCAAAATGAAGAAAATGAATCAAGAGATTTAATTCAGTTTTCAACAAACCCTGGTACTCCAGAAAAGATTCAATCAAATTTAAAGATTCCTATTGTAAGAGAAAAACTTTCAGAACGTCTTCAACACTTTATGAAATCTCGTAAAGTGAAAAATGAAATCCAAAATTCTACGTATCAAGAAGAAATTGGATTAGAGAAAACTAACAAAGATGAAGAGAAAACAATTCGAAAGAATCTAAAATTTAATTCGACTTTACCCAGAATTTGTCCACCACCACCATTATCAATTCAAGATCAACTTTATTTACCAAATCCAATCTCAATTAATGAAGTAGAAAGTCATGAAAAGTTAATTGGATTTTATTCGATTAGGATTTCTGAAAATCGATATTTAAAATCCCAACTTGAAAACTATTTTAGTTTAGAAGAATCTAATGAATTTGATTGGAAAGAGAAAGAAAAGATCTTAAAACCTGATTTAATTTTTCAAGATCAACAAACCGGTTTAGAAATCGGGATTGTGTTTATCAGGTTATCTACTTTGATTAGTGGATCATATAAACCCAATGAGATTGAAAAGATTGATAATGGTGAAGATTTGATTGAAGAAAACTCGATTAAAAATCAAGTTATTCAAGAAGCTTGTTTTACAAGTATTTATAGATTATCGAAAAGCTTTTCAAGATTATTGATCGTTTTAGAAGCATATCCAATTAAACCAACATCATCTTCAAGTTCAAATGAATTAATTGCTTATGCATATACACCACCGATTTGTAACAGTTTAGAAATTTTAAAATCACATGTTTTGAAACTTGAAGAAAACGTTCAAGATCATCAAGGTGATTTTAATGCTGATTTAAGTGTTTCTGAATCTTATGAAAGGTCTTGTGAAATTGCTTTACAATGGGTTAAGGAGGTTTTACCTTCTACATAGATTGAATTGGTTGGATTTGAGAATGTGATTGATTTCGACCGTGAAAATGTGATGGATGATCTTTCGAGGAAGAGAAGATGGAGTACATATTTCCTTATGTGCTTAGGAGTGTTAAGTACTTAGTGACTTGCAGTCTGCAGATTTCAATGACATCATATTTATTTGTTGAAGAAATGACGAAATGAATACTTGTAGGTTTCAGTTTGAGAGATTGAAATCTGCAACAAGAACATTCCTTCCAGGGTACTCCAAAGGATCGACATCTTAATTCGTAGATCGATCAAGGGATTGCAATGTCATGAACTGAAGCTTTTGTTTGTTCGAGTGTTTTGAGACTTGCTGAAGTTAATTCCCCTTTCAAAACCAGTTCTATACATATTTATCAGATGATCCAAATTTCGATGACGAGTTGTATCTTGTTGAAATTTTGATGAGTAAGAATTTAGGATTGGTTGTTTTGAAGATTCAACAAGATTCGAATTGATTGTAGACAGTAAGGTGATAAGGTAGGATAAACTATTGATCGAAAGGTATTAAAAGCTCGATTCAAACACTTCAACCAAGAACAAACCAAAAGTTTCAATTAATCACGTTGTATCTCTTTGACTTGAAAAATTAATAACTTTGAACTTCTGATATGCAGGTACGAAAAGATGTAAGAAGAAGTTCGATTTAATTAAAGTTTCGGAAAAAAACGTGTGAACAAATCCTAACAAATCGTCATCATTTTATGTATCAATTCTGAATTCCCGAAATCGGATTTTAGGTCATCGAAATGATATGGGATTGAGTTTGGTTATAGATCATAAATCACTTTATAAAAAGTCTTCATCCAGTCTGTCTTAGGATTCTGAACACATCCTATATATCAAATATTCCATCATATATCCCATCATCACAGATAATTCTCATTTCACCATGTCAATTCTTGGTTACAATCATCATTTAGAAAGATTAAATAGTTTGATCAATGAATCTCATTCGATTTTAGAATCATTGGATTTAAATGAAGCAACTCAAGTTAAAGATTCGAATCAAGATTTAACTAATGGGAATGGTATAGAGAAAAATAAGAAGCAAGATAAAGACAGATTAAAAGTGATTTTAAATGATGCTAAATCTGTGATTAATGGATTAGAACCATACGTAGAAAAATGGTAAGTAAAACTCACTTTGACCTCTTTTCTCAAACCTTTCAAATCTTCTTTAAAAGAAACTAATTTGTCTCTTTCTCTTTCTCTTTCTGAAAACTAAACCTCGATGACTTTAGTACCAACTTACCGAATCCAAAGTTAGAATCAACCAAAGTTTTAAAAGAAATGATTTCTGAAACAAACCAAACTGATTGGACCAAACTTTTCGAAACCAACCAAACTCAAATCAAATTAATGTCAGAGATGTCATCCAATTCATATGAACATGGATTAATTAAATTCTTATGTGATTTAATCAAACCTAAAAGGATTTTAGAAATCGGTATGTTTACAGGTACGATGACTTTAATATTTTCATTGACTAAAGGGATTGAGAAAGTCGTTAGTTTGGAGTATGAACCTTTTTTGGAAGAATGGTGTAGGACGTTTTGGAAGAGGTTGGATGGTGGAAAGGTTAGTGAAAAGATTGAAGTTAGGATCGGATCTGCTTTTGATAGTTTAGAGAAAATGAAAGTTGAGGGTGAAGAAGCTTTTGATATGGTAAGAATCAAGTTTTCATTGAAAAAATCTAGCATGAAGTTTCTTTTAACTGATTTTGATTTTTCTTTTACACTTTCTTTTTTTGGTTATAGATTTTAATTGATGCAGATAAAAGTTCATATTCAAAATACTTTAATCAAATCATAAATCATAAATTATTATCAAAAAATGGAATTTTATTAATCGATAATACGATTTATAAAGCCACTACCTTTTCACCATTTTCATCGAATTTGATAAATGATTCATTGAAATTAAATGTTAATGAAGATTCAATTCAACAGATTAATCAAAATGGTCAAAGTTTAAATGATTTGAATCAAGAGATTTCGAACCATTCTGAAGTTGATGTGGTGATGTTACCTATCAGAGATGGGTTAAGTTTAATTAAATGGAAAGAAGTTTGAAGAATTTAAATTAGTTTGTTTTACTTCTTTGGGGGGGTTGAATGGTTGGAATTTGAAGACTTGTGGGGTTCATTGATCATTGAAGTTCATTTATTATGTTATATCTTTAAAACAACCTTAAAAAAAGTGATTGTGATTTGTTATACTATATGATCTTTAACCTCTACAGAGAAAAAAATTGTATACTTTTTTTATCAGTTGATTGAGTTTATCATCATGAAAATGAAGACAGAATTTTGTAAATCTAGTGACTTCTTTTTTTTGTTGAGGACTACTAAAACCTTTTACTGGTCTGGTCTCTTGAGAAGAGTTGAACGGATCCCAAAGATCTGGCAATTCATTTCACTAGGTCTCTTAAAGTGAGTTCTTTCAGTTGATGGTCATGGGCAGGAATAGCAACTGGCATATGAAAGGCAGGGATTCGTTGATATTCACAGGCTCTGAAGTGAGGGGCGCCGTGGTTCAAGGGTTAATCGAGTGTGACTTTCAACTCTCATGTTCAGAGGTAGATGAAGTTCGCTAACAATTGGAGCTTGGTATGATTACGCTTTCAATCTTGGTCGCGCGCACCACTCGCCATGGATTTGGCTTGGATTTTGATGCCAAACCGTATCAAATAAATTGAAATACAGTCGAAATATGGGTTTGGTAGGAAATGACGGTTGCTGCAGGAGTCCTTCGCAGAAGGACTTCAAACATGATACATAGATTTTTCTTCGAAGTTGAACGCTGGGTCTTGGTTTTCTTTTCACGAGAGTACATACACTCTATTCTACTTTATCGTACGCAGGTTTGCGTGTTACAAGGTATGAAGCAGAGCTACATCCTTCTGCGCCCATGAAGTCTTTGAGTGTTTGAGATTGTGCATTTCGACGAAGATGATGGAGCTTGGGATCCACTTTTAAGCAGACAAATCCTTTCTCCTCGATTCTATTCCTAATCCAACTCTTCTCGCTCGATTCCAAACAGAAACCACTTCTGATTGCTCTGTTCCCATCATAATCACATCCTTTCAACTCATTTCCATTCAGGATGTTGATCTCGCTGTGTTTGTTCTTACCAACTGTAATTTGTGCCATCAGGTCAGAATGCACCTATTGTGAATCATACGAAAATCCAAGAAATTTTGGTCGCGGAAGAGTTGATGCACCTTTAAGGTGTTATCATAGCCAGGAAAGGTTAACAAACAGATTGGCAAGCGTGTCTGTCTTTGAGATCAAGGGCCATAGCAAACAGTTCAAAATGATTGAAAACTCTAAAGATATAGCCAACAGGGATAGATCTTATTGGAGCACGAAAAAGCTGCAAGGCCACCTCGAACGATTGGAGCTTTTCGGCACATATGCAAGGAAGCTATACGACGATCAGTATTTTCTATCGATGATGAATTCATTGAATCTTATCTTGAATGGCGAATCGACGGACTCATTGCCATTGGAATGCGATTTGATTGGTCAAGCTGTTGATTTTTTTGAACAAACTGATACTAATTTGATTCAGAAAATATGGGTACTGGGTTTGGTACAAAGATTTCAAATGTATCATCCTACTATCGACGTACTGTCAACGGGCTCAAGTGATGGTCAACGAATTGCTCTTTCACGACTAGGATTAGCATTGTCTTTGACACAGAGTACGTCTTTGGATTGTACCATTTGAGATCAGTAAACTGGAGTTTCCTGACATGATAAATATTGATGGGCGAAAAATTGATCATATCATCAGGAATGAATTTGTGGGATCCATTGATTACTTCTGTGACATTTAACTCAGCTATATGGATCCCTACTGGTTAGTTTCATTCCTGTTTTGCTATTATTGGCACAACGCAGAAAACTGAGCGCTGAAAACGATTTCTAGATCTCAAAAAAGCTTTGAAACGAGTGGATTTATTGCACCATGTTGGTAAATTGAATCAAGAAACAAATCAAACCTCTCAAAGTATATTTTTCAAGGAAGTATATGATGATTTACTTCAAGCAAGTTGTCCTTTTGAACCTAAAAAAGCAAACTCGTTGGCTGAAAGATGTATTGAAGGTATCAAGATACGGGAAGAAAAAACAGTAGAAGAAGAATCAATGGATTATATATCATCACATCTTTATACGTTTTCCAAAAGTGCCAAGAATTATATTAAAAAATCACTCGGTTCACAGTTTGATTCATCAAAGAAAATGATTAAAAAACATTTTGAAGATATCGAACATCAACGTGTTCGTACCTTGAAGAGAAATCAAATTCAACATTACTTACAAGAGTCTCCTGACCCTTTTATCGCAAACTTACTGAAACCTTTTACGGATGAAGTACCTGTGAACTTGGATCATTACAAATACATTCTGGATTGCTTTGAAGCGCTTAAGACGATTAAATATGATTTAGATATACATCGAGTACATGATCCATCGTCTTATTCGAGTGACCGAAGGTTTGTGATCAGTGTGTTGTATTCAGAAAGCCCATATATAACAGGTGCTGGAAACTACCTCGCTTCAAGGTTTAGAACAGGTAATTATCTCCTACATATTGCCATGAGCAATATCAGCTTGGGTATTTGTTGAAATGTGTTTTGTATTGGAGGATATCATGACAATCCGGACATATTGATATGTCTTGAATAAATTTCAGTTAAGATTGCTGACTTGAGGGATGGATTCCATGTTTTTCTGTAGGGTTGGGAGACTATCAATTCAAAACAAAAAACCAACTAAACATAAAGGAACACAACAAAGATGACGAGGAATGTGCTGTCTGCAAAAGAGAATTTGTTTTAGGGGAAGAGTGTATTGCAATGGACTGTTTTCCAAGTCATATATATCACTATGATTGCTGGAAAGTGAGTCTGATGGGATTTTGTATTTGATCTTTGAGGAACCTGACTTCATTTTAATCCAAAACAGGGATTTCCTCGCGGTGGGGTCAGATGCTTAACTTGTCAAACACCTGTGCAGAGACGGATTGACTTCAGCCATCATGTTTTCTGGTGGGATAATGGAAGATTACAGAAGCAAAAGTATGCAGCAAAATGCTCAGAGGGTGTGGAGTGAAGCAAGTTTGAGTATGTATGACTATCTCTTGCTCCTCTTTGTAAGATTACACCTTACAATTGTCACAAGTGCGACAGGTTGAGATATTCAATGATTCAGTTTCTATAAGCAGGAGTTCTTCTTTTTTTTCTCATCTATTTCTTCTTTCTCCGAACTGATTCTTAGTTTCACTGTACTTGAGGGTTTTTATCTGGTGTCTCTCTGAGCTAGGTATGATGGCATATCTCTTCTTTTGTTGTTTTGATTAATAGTTCCATTTTTACTTGGTTGTTTTATCTAATATCTTTCTGAAGTAGGCCCAGTGTTAGTAGTTTTTCATTGGCTCTAAGAACTTTGTGGCTGTTGCCACTTGTATCATCTACCTTCAGTGCAGTTCCTTCATAGGAACTTCCACCCTTTTATCCATGTAAGTCTGGTCCGTGGAGTCCAAAAGATGGTATATGGAGAATAAAAGTTAAACATCCAAGACTTATTCCAAAATGTCTACACCTTGTGATGCACATATCTCCATCTCACTCAGAGCTTTCACACCTAAAATACTGATGTTTTATTGGTGATAAATGGTATTGTACTGGATATACAATACATTCAAAAGAAGATTGAAATCACTGGGCTACATAGAAATTGTTAGGACTGGAATCCTGGCATAAGACTTTGCAGTCAGAAGTTCTAACTGCAAAGTCCCAATAGAAGTTAACCCATCTAAAGCAATGCTATTATTCAGGAATGTTCACCTTTTTATTACTGCATTATACATACTTTTATAATAGCACTGGAAAGAGTCTCACCATCACCTTGCCTGCCTGTACTGGTGGTGATGCTCCTCTTTACACAGGGATGAGATCAACTTTGAGTTCAGTGACTATATCTCAGTGTGTAAATATAAACAATACATAGATAAAAGGATGATCAGAACCACCATATCACAGGTGGTTTGACTGTCCATGAGGGCATTGTGCACAACCTGTGACAGGTGGCCTGTGAAAGGTTTGCAACACGCTGTGAGAATCTTTTCACCTGACCACTCACAGTTGTCTCAGCATTCCTCTCAGCAAGTATCTCAAGGAATTTCACACAGTCATCAGGTAGTGTGTTGATCTGTTTTTGCTCCATCCCACCCACCAACCCACTGGAGCTCCCCAGCATTAGGAGGTTTGGTTTACGGAAACCAACCACCTGGTTCTCAAGAACCAAGCGCATACACTTGACAATTAGTAAGGGGTATGCCCAGGGGGGATGTTGATGGACATCCTGTCTGAGCTGAGCCCCAAAAGCTCGGACCAGGACCAAAGATCCACCTACAACTACCTGTTGCAAGGAGCAAAATGGAATGGTAAGTGATCAGTGTGTAAAGATTCAAGCCCAGCCCTAAGGGGCCCCCTTTTTGAAAGCTCCCCCTCTAAAGATTTATTTTCACAAAGTCAATTCTTGGCTATAATTTCTATTAAGAATGATAGAATAATTTGATTAATGAATCTTACTTGATTTTAGAATCATTGGATTTAGATGAAGGAACTCAAGTCAAGAATTCAAATCAAGATTTAAGTAATGGGAATTGCAAAGATAAAGATAAGAAAAAAATGAAAAAGATTGGAGGTGATTTTAAATGATGATAAATCTGATATAAAGGGATGAGACCCATACATAGAGAAATGGGAAGTGAAACTCACTTTGACTTCTCTTTAAGAATCTTTCTATCTCTACTCTGTGGGTAAGGGCTAGGCTTATAAGCTCTTCTAATTTCTCAGATATGTCTAGTCTACAATTGTATACACATATCTCCTTCTCAGCCTTATGCTATCCTAACCTAGGATTGCCTAAGTTGAGAATAGTGTGGGGGGGTGTCTCAAGCCTGGACGTGTACTGGGTCTACCCCAGGGCCTCCTTTCAAGGTCCTGCAGGTCTGACTCCAGCTCTGTTCCAAGCTCCAGATGGCAAAGTGCCTGAAAAGGGTACCAGGGGGCTTAGTCCTAGCCTAGAGAAGGTGGGTGGGTGCAAAAAAAGGTGTTAAACTTTGTCTGTTTAACTAACTGCTTGAAGAGCTTGGATGTCAAGCTTACGACTGAGGTGTGAGGAAAAGAGTTCTAAGAGTAGAGGAAATTTTTTGTTCCTCTCTCTGTCTCTTTGACCCACCCACCTTGTTGTGTATGTACTGTTACATGTGCACCTAGTTGGTACCCGTCTAGTAACAATAGAAGCTTCTTACCACATTGTGCCTTTGGTGGGAGGTTGTCATCAATTTATCTTTGAAAGAAACTAATCTATGTCTCTCTGAAAACTAAACCTCAATTGTTTTAGTACGAATTTAGCAAACTAGAGAACATGCGGGCGTGCCCGCAACAGGGGAACACTTTATTTATCCAATTGTCACAAAATAACACACTGTAACTTAAAACCACTTCAAAGACTGAATAAAACCCATACACATTCCTAAACCCATCCTTGCAAGGCATTCAACTGGCCACACCAATATGGCATGGGACAAAATGGGTAATTACATGAAACGCTATTGTTTAAACTTGATGAAAGTGTGCCACAAACAAGTAATATTACAAAATATTTCTATCACACTACATGAACCATGAATGGTCATACAATGATATTGAAACTTGCCACACAAAATCATGCTTTATCATTGTTATTCCCTGACAAAATGGACAAGATTAGGGAAACATTAGTGTTGAAGATCTGTAAAGAAAGATAACACTTGAACAGATGATGTTCATCACCCCCCTGCACTATTAAGTGTCTCAATGTCTCTGTCCAGTAAGGCTCACAATGCAAAATTTGTTAGGCAAACAACATTTTCTAAACCAGTGACTGATAATCTAAACAAAAAATATATGTTCAGGTTTGTTTTGTCACTATGATAGTATATAGGAGTAAAAACTTATGATCCAGAATTCATATTTCTGAGGTCAACCCTGTGGTTGAATCCATTCTTTCAACAGCAATTCAAATAATCTTCACTAGACTTTTTGCCATAGTGGAGATCAATGATTATATGAATCAGAAGAACCAATTGTTTGATTTTGTTGTTCATATTCAGGAACATGAGGATAAGCTGGATTGTGATAACTTGACATTTATTGAAATCATTCTGAATCAAGTACGTGAATTACATTCTGGTGTTGACCAATTTTTTTGTTTTTGTGGAAGAATTTTGTGATTGATTGAAAGGCACTTATTGATGTAGACTTACTGAGCCAGGTCTAAGAAATTGATATCTGAGAATATGGTTTCCTACAAAGAGATAAAATTTGCTTATTCCTTCAACCACACAATAATAATGGACTCAATTTGTTTCATGTAATACTTCAAGAGTTGATTCTTCACTCCAAAAAGATAGAAGTGGTTGAAGATCTGAACTCAGTCTCAAGTCAATTGCTTGAGACAAACTTGTGAATGAAGCTCAATCAAAATTCACTTTTGTTATTATTTCCCAAATTATCTTGTATCTGAGAATCATGAATGGAGCAAAATTATAACATTCAACTTCACAACTCTCTTTGTGATGAATGGATAGATCTCATAGGGTATGGATGGATGGATGTTTATGATTTTTCCTTCAGAAATTAGAATGAGGTTACAAATCCTTCTGCCAAGTTGATTTCTCTTGTAATCATTATGAGCCTCAATGTGTTCTTTGCTCTGAGAGGCTGAAAATTAACAAGTTACTTTCATGGATTGGATCAAGTCAATTATCTCATTTTATAGTGAAAAGAAATTCCAAGATGGGCCTCTTCTTCTTCTTGATGTCCATGTACTGTGTCCCATTCATACCTGCTCCACTTTTCTTTATCAATGGGTTTGATCTTACAGTCGTCACTCGTCACTGTGAGACAAAATAATTGAATACATGTTTATCGCTATTTGACTTTGAACCTCTCTATCTCTGTCTTTCTCTCTTGCTGAGCACTGACAAATGTTGACCAAGAGCGCAGAAATTCAAAAGAGGAACGGAAAACTAATTAAGTTGAAAGTCGCAAGAATCATAAATTCAGATTGTAAATCATCACCAGCCTAATGTTGGTTGATGAAAACAAAGCTGAAATTATAACACCACATATCTGCTACATGTGTGAAGTAAAAGTTGTGAAGTCTTCAACAAGTAACAATTTCTTGAAATTCAACTTGCGCTGTGATTATAACTGATAAAAACTGCATAAATTGTGATTTGAGGATTCATTCTGTAGAGCAGAGGAAAATTGAAATAATTTCATGTTGTTTCATCTTTTATGTGAATCTACGCGGTTGAAATGGAATACAAGAAAGAGGAATTGAGGATTGGTGCAAGATAAGAAAAGCAATAATAATCAAGGACAGCTACAATGAGGGATTATAAAATATCAAAAGTAGTGTTGTCCATAGAGTGCGGGGAACTGTGGAGATATGATGGTAAGCAAAAGATGGGCCATTTTATAGCCTGGATTGGTCTCCACAAGCAGTGCACAAGTGAGGCGGCGCCGGCAGTGATTTGAAATGCACCTCACTTTTAAAAGCAAGCAAATTTAAAAAGTCATCAAAAGGACTTTGAATGACAAAGAGAAGACGTAAATGAAATGTGTTTTCTTGAAGAGAGAAAACAAAGAGCACCAAAATATTAAAATCGATGAACAATCCATGTCGATCGACCTGAAATTGGCATTGAGTGAGGACATGCACCTTTGGTGTGCTAGATACAACTATGAACAAAGTTGTTGTTGTTCAAAACTGCAATTGAAGCGTAAAATTACCGGTCTTGAAAAAGAAGAACACAATCGGTGGAAACAAAAGTACAAAGGTTGCTTCGCAAACGTGGCTCCTTTACAGAGAGCAAGAAAAGCAGCCACAAAAGGTGGGTGCAGAGAAGAACAAACGGATAAAAAGCATGAAACATTTGAAAAGCAAAAATGAAAAGAGACGTGGGGCAAAAAGAACCGGACCCAAGAGAACAAACGAACCGTACTGAACGGTCCTTCATGCGAGTCCATTCGACATATTTATATATTAGATTCTAACTTACAGTCAACAAAAGTTTTAAAATGTATGATTTTGGAACAAACCAAACCCAAATCAAATTCATGTCAGAACTGTTGTCATACTCATAAAAACATGAATTGATCCATTCTCCAAGGTTTGTACACTGGAGTAAAGGATTAGATCATCTATGTAACATCCTTTAATGTTCTGTGTATAGATACTGTTCCTTGGCCTGTCATTATGGCTGAGTCTAAAGTTTGTTTGGGGAAACCCAGGCACAGGTCTGCTACTTTGTGTTGCAGTGTGTTTGATGTTGATGTCAGCATGATCTGCCCCCAAGTTGGGTGGGTGGGTGGTCAAAAAAAGGATTTAATCTGTTCAAATCACTTTGAACATCATTCAACTTCCCCAAGTGGAAATGAGAAAATGATGAGCAGTGTCATTTGTCATAAAAGGATCCATCAATGCACACCTGAGCCATGACACCCACACTACATATGTGCAGCAGGCTGAGTGAATAGGTAGCTACCATGTACATACATGTTTGCTCAGTTATGTCCTCATCTGGATGGGTGAATCTTATGTAATACACGCTGTAACTTTTTTCAGCTTGACAAAATCATTCCAAAGATTGGCTACATACATGACTGACTCAGATTTTTGATGTATTTTTGTCAACCAAACTTCATGTAACACCCTTTGTGTTACTGGCCAATGGCCACAAGAATGTTGCCTGAGTAGCCGTGATGACACATGTAGTGGATTGTTGGGACAATTTTGTCAATGGAAAAAAAGTTACATGATTTATCACATGTGATTTATTTAGTCCGGTGAGCAGACCTGTATGTATATGATGGGCAACTATTGACTAAGCCTGCCAGAAATATGTAGTGTATGTGTTATGGTTCAGGTGTGCAGTGAGGGATCCTTTTATTACAAACTACACTCTTAATCATTTTCCCCTTCCCACTTGGTGAAACTGAATGACATTTACAGTGACTACAGTGGAATTCCTTTATAAGCATTGCAATGGTTGGGCGAAATCTTATGCTTACATAAAATGTGCTTCTTATTGAATAGGTGCATAATCCCCAATCAAGGAAAATGCTATGCTTAAGGAAAAAAATAGTGCTTGACCATTTTTTTTGAATGGGAGGTGCTTGATACAAGGCAAGAAAGTTCACAGAATCAATATTTGTAACCTAAAGGGTCTTGTGTAAAAAGACGCAGAGATTTTGGAGCATGTATTGTGGGACAAGAGTACAAATAGAAAGTGATGTAGGGTCTTGATTTTTTCTTGTAGAATTGGAGTGGCTCATGTAGGTTGTTGTGATTAGACATGATTTGAAACTCAATCAGAGGAGTTGCTTAGGGAGAGAAGTAATCAAAAGACCAAGATCAAGAAAAATCAACATCAAGTAATTATAAATAGGATGAGAGAAAAAAAGAAAAGATCAAGAGATTTGAAAGACTCACTCATTGAGTTGAGTACTGCCATTTTCGTCGTCATCAGATGAAGACAGATCGGATGATGAAAAAAGAGAAACACTCAAGGTGTCAGGTACATGAGCTGACTTTCTATTGGAAAAGAAGCTGGTTATCTTTGGCTGAGTCAAATTTTCAGTCTGTCACATGCCAAATAGGAGCATATGAGCCCAGAATGCTTGATTTAATGCTTCCATTCCCATGCCTACCCCCCATTTTTAGAAGCATATCTTCCAAAAGTTTATGCTTTAAGCTTATATGCTTGTATTTGGAAAATTACCACCAACCAAAAATGGTTGGATGGGATTTGATGCTTATAAAAAATTATGCTTGTGTAGTGTAGGCTTACAAAGGAATTTCACTGTACTCTAAAGATTGTTGCATAAACAAAACAAGGTTTGACTCATGAGGTGTGAAGCGTGGGATATCAGCACTTGCTATTATTCCTAAACTTGACAAAGTTCCTTTCTCCTTGCAAGTCAGGCCTTCAGCCCCAAATGCCAAAATTGAAGTTCCTGGCTGCTTTTATTTAAAAGGCAGAAGAGGGACTGACCCTGTTTTTTCCAGTGCAGTTTTTAAATCTGAGACACAGGCTGTCATTCAACCAAGCTTACAAACAGAAATTGTTGGGTGGATGGGAAAACCAGGGGATTTGCAGGGATGCTCTGGGTACTCAGAGTTCCCTTTTGAATACCCTGGGGATTCCTGGGGCTTGGGCTTGCTTGAATTTCAATCACCACATAATGTTGATATTTCCAATAGGGATAGACCACCAAAGCCCATCTACAATATATAGTATCAATTTTGAGGTGAAGTTTGTACATTTTTGTGCATACATATTCTTGATTTTCTTGCAGCTATTCAATATTTTTACTGCCTCTCAGAAAAACATTGGCCCTGCCAATTGGAAAAACCAATCTGCCGGGGGTTGGGGCCCACACTGACTTGCAACTTAGGTTGGGGAAACAGCACAAAATATCATTCGAAAATGGGGGTTGGCACGCCTTTTGAAACATACCACCAAGACCAAATTTGAGTTGATGAAAACAGTTGGAGGGGACCACTCTAGATGTTGATTGTGACCTTGAGAGCTGAGAGACTCTGAAATTGGAGGTTCTCCTGTAGCACACACCAATTAATCACCTTTTTGCCAATGAATTTGGATTTTCATCTTGATAGTGTATCTGATTTTGATACTTTGAATTTTTGAAATCAAATTGCTGCTGGGACAAGATCACAAGTCAAATACATTCATTGTGAATAGATACAAAATATATTCATTGTATTGATGAGACAATGGTTTTTGTTGAAATGACAAATTTTCACGGTGTCGAGCAATTTTTTAAAAAGGAAGACCCGCCCCCACAACCTGACTTGCAAGGGAGTTACAGCTCAAGTCAAAATATTGGTGTGCTCAAAGGCCTTGCAAGGAGCAAGGGACTTTGTTAAGTTTGTATTATTCCTGGGAGGAAACCCTCTGTCAAGGGTTATGGCTTTACACCTTCATATCTAAACTTGTTAATGGCCTCAAGCCTTTCATATTGCCTTGGTTGAGACAGGCAATGAAATTTTTATGTGACTTCAATAACCCTACCACCATTTTAGACATCAGCATGTTTACAGGTACAGTGACATTATGATTTTCACTAGCTAAAAAGGACTTGAAAAAGTGGTTAGTTGAGAATATGAACCTTATTTTGAGGAATGGTGTAGAGATGTTTGGAAAAATTTGGATGAATGCATCATCATATTGAAGTTAGGGTTGGGTTTGCTTTTTGGGGAAAATGAAACTTGATGGTGAAGATTCAGCCGTTTTTTTGGATTTTCCCTTTTGATGATTGGATTGCTGTTCCATCTTCAACTCTTCCCTCCCCTTTTTGAGTGCACTCGGTCCGGTCCGCGGGCACCAAAAAATGGAGAACGGTGGAGGACTAGATGAGGTTCATGACAACTCGAGCTTGGGATGGCATTGTTGGTCAGCGTTATAAATCGCGCGCACCACCTATGCAAGGCTTACATCCTGATTCCCGGGCTCCACCAAGTCTCTCTTTCTGGGCTTTGGAACCAATTCGTGCCTTGTGTGACCTCTCAAACAAATCTCACAAATCAAAAACACCCATGTCGAAACAAACTTAACTACTAGTTTGCACTAGTCCCACTCGTATTCTGAGAAAATGGGTGTTAATGCACCGGTGGCTAATGAGAACATTTTTATTGTATCGTTTCATGTCTTCCGGGGAAAAGCAAACGCGTCGGGTGTTTCACACAAAGCACTTCAAACATGACTTTCTTCTTCTAATGCGAGGTCGGATCGGATTTCAACGAGGATACACCATCCTACTTCATCGTACGAAGTCTTCTCACTTCAACCCATGCAGAATCCAATTTTCTGACGAATTCAATTCTTATTGATTAACTCCAATCAGAATCAAATTATTTTTCCTTCATTCCATTCAGAATGCTAATCTTATTGTGTTTGCTTTTACCAAGTGCTATATGCACCATCATCTCAGACTGCTCCTTTTGTGCATCATCCATAACTTCAAGATTTGGTCGCGGGACAGTAGATGAACCTTTGAGATGCTATCACAGCCAGGAAAAACTATCAGAAAGATTGGAAAACATGTTTGTCTTCGAGGCCATGGACCATAGCATTCAGCTCAGGACGATGACGAACCTCAAAGATATGGCCGATGGGAATATGTTTTCATGGGGCAGCAGAAGAAAGAAACACCTTGAAAGTTGGGAGTTGTTTGGCGCATTTGCCAGAGGACACTACTACGACCATCGTTTTGAATCAATGTTCCGTTCGTTAACGCTCATCTTGGAACCTGTGCCTAGACACCCGTTTCCAATAGAATGTGATGTGATTGGTCAGGCCCTCGATTTCTTTGAACACGACGAGAATCACTTGATCCATAGAGTTTGGGTGCTGGGTTTGATTCAGAAATTTCAGATGTATCACCCAGTCATCGACGTACTCTCGGCGAGCTCGAGCGAGGTTCAAGGGACTGCTCTTTCACGAGTAGGATTGGCATTGTATTTGACACAGAGTAGGTTTTTCATAGCATTGAATCATTTGATGTCGGTAGACTTGCAGTTCCTGACATGGTATGTGCAACAAATTGATCGAATCATCAGAAATGGATTTGTTCTCTCCAATGGTCAATTCTGTGTCGTACTCAGCCGCATGGATCCCTAATGGTGAGTTTTATTCCTGTGTGCGCTTATTGGAACAGCACAGAAAACTAAACTGAAATCGTCTTTAGATCTAAAAGAAGCTTTGAAACGAGTGGATTTGCTGTACCATATTGGTACACGGAGTCAAGAAACAGATCAAACCCCGCGAAGTCCGATATTCATGAAAGTTTATGATGATTTACTTCAAGCAAGTTGCCCTCTTGGGGACAAAAAAGCAAGATCAATGGCTGAACGATGTATCGAGGGTATCGGGATGCGGGAAGATAAAACAATAGAAGAGGAATGGATGGAGGAAGTATTATTGCATCTTTATACGTTTCGCAAGAGCGCCAAGAAATACATCAAAGAATCACTCAGTGGGCGATTTGGCTCATCAAATAAGAGAGTCAAAGAATATTTTGAGAGAATAAAAACCCGAGGCAATCGTACCCTGAAGAGAAAACAAATTCAGCGATACCTGTCAAATGAGCACCTCGATCCTTTCATTGCAAACTTACTTACGCCTTTTACATATGAAGTGCCCGTCAAATTGGATCACTACAGATACATTCTCGAGTGCTTTGAAGCACATAATACGATTAGATATGAGTTATTCGATGATATATCTCATAATTGGGAAATGTACTCGAGTGACAAAAGGTTTGTGATCAGTGTTTTGTATTCAGAAAGCCCATACATTACTGGCGCTTCAAGATACCTGGCTTCAAGGATCAAAAGAGGTAATTATCCTATGATTCACCCGTATGATGCTTAAGTTAATTTCTTGCACTCGATTGGTCACAGCATGACTATTGCACGGTTTTTTCCCTTATTGGAGATCTCTTCAATAACATGCTAGCTTCCCAATTTTTCCTGTTTCCTGAAAATATTTCAGTCCAGGCTGCTGACATTCATGATTTCTTTAGAAAAGGGCAAATACCAACTCATCTCAAAAAACCAACCATACACACACCAACACAACATAATTGATGCGGAGTGCGCCATATGTCTTAACAAATTTGTTTTGGGGGAGCGTTGTGTCGCATTGGAATGTTTCCCGAACCATATATTTCACTATGCCTGCTGGATGGTGAGTTTACCAAGATCATTTATTTGTTTTTATGAAGTATCAGTCACATTTTTTATTGAAACCTAATACCATTCATCCTAAAACAGAATCACATCCAACAACCACGAAGAATTACATGCCCTCTCTGTAGAGCACCTGCACACAGAAATCCAATCAGCCAACATGTTTACTGGTGGGATAATCTAAGATTACAGAAACAAAAAAAGCTTGATCAAATCCGGGGAAGTTGATACATCAGCACAATGCTTACTTAAGTGTTCAGGGTGCTTCAGAAAAACATTCTGAAATAAGGCTGGCTCCCTCTTTCTTGCATTCCTGAAACCTGGGGAACGGAATTAAACTTGTAAAGTATTAATCAATTTAACAAGACTAAAATCTTCAAAAAACAGTTCAGAGCTATGTCATCATCTTAGCAGTCCCTCATGGAGTCACATACCATTGCTGGTGTGGCTAGCAAGGATTGAGAGGGAAACACTAAGGACAGTTCATTGCATGTTGAACCTGTTGCTCCTGAAGATTCTAGTAGATGAGGAGAGCATTTCTGATCTTGTATCAGCTTCTGAGAGCAAGAGATTTGAATGATATAGTTCAGAGAACAAAGTGGGTGGTTTAACAAGAAATATGATCTGCTTCTATAGTGATGCTGGAACTAACTTGCTAAATTCACTAGAGAAGTTTGGCAGTCTTCCAACCTGTCCAATTTTCTGTCTCTTTGATTTAACCTTCCAGCCAACTCAAATGAGTTCTCCCTGTGCTACCAGGAATAACTTCTCTAGGCACATCTATCCTGATTCCTGTTGGCAGGAGCCGCCTAGTAGTCTACCATTGTAGTCCAACATGGAACAATCATGGACTGGAATTGCATGATGGAGACATGCATAATTAAAGGAGCCCATAGGCCACTGCTTTGGCTCTCACAGGAGCCTTCCCAGGCCTGCTACTGTAAATCAAAAAACTAGGAAGGGGAAACTTAAAGTTGAACCAAGAAGAAACTCATGATCAATATCAATCAACCCTGTGTACAATATTGAATTGATTTTTTGTCTAACATCCTTGTCAGATGAAGTATTCTTTTGACTTTTGCGCTTTGATTTCCTCTTTTTCTTTGTCATTTCCCCCTTCTTGCCTTGATCCTCCTCCTCCTCTGATGAACCAGTTACTCATTTTTCCCCATCAGTGCCTTCAACTCAATCACCCTGTCTTTGATCTTTGCCAATAGCTATCACCTCCTTGTTCAACCCTTGCTGGTTGCCTGAGGTTGTAGGAGGTTTGCCATGCGGTTCAGTTGAGAGGATTGAGGAGTGTTCTTTATCACAGGGTCTCGAGAGCCTGCTGACTGTTCATGTTCCTCTGCCTGTTCTTCATGTTTAAGAGCATGAGCAAACCTCTTCTCTTTGTCTAATCTAACTGCTTCCAACATTTTCTTTGATTGATATTGTTGTACTTGATTCTTTGTTTTCAATGGTCACCACATTCACATTTAGACATTTCATATAAGACTTGACTTGATAATGTAATGTAACATGATTTGAAATTTTTGAAGAAAAATAAAGAAGCAGAAATTTACACTTGTAGGATTACCGGGTGCCAGTGCAGGATGAATTTGGAATGGGTAGAGAGATGGAAAAATTTCCTCTTTTCCCATCTTTCAAATTGGTGTGTGTTAGGGATGTCATCACCAACCCATATGTGATATCCTGGCTGCACCTGTCACTCCTCTTCCTCTCAAGAATGGAAATCAGGGTACCTGCTCAAGTTTGGAACACTATCAAGTCTTAAACAATTTGTTTTGAGGGAGTGTTGTGTTGCATTGTCATGTTTCCCAAGCCATATATATAACTATGATTTCTGGAAGGTGAGTTTGCCAAGATCACTTATTTGTCTTTCTTCAGGATTTATCAAAATCTATGTTGAAATATGACTTCATTTGCTCCAAAACAGAAACACATCCATAAACCCTAACCAAGCACATGCCCTCTCTGTGAAGCACCTGTAATTAAACATACTACAATCAGCCAACATGTTTTCTGCTGGGATAATCTAAGATTACAGAAGCAAGAGAAGCATACTAGAATTCAGAAAACATGAGGATTTAATGCAACATTACTTGATGTTGACTCACACACTGGAGTGAAACAAGTCCAAATAAGGCTCTTTCTCTTGCATATTGCTAAGCAAAACATTAAACACATAAGTTGAGTTCATTTAAGAAACATCAATTCATCATCAATGTCAAAAAGGATGGCTAATAGTAAGACCCCAGTTGGTTGCTGCTCAATTGTGTACACCACAATTTAAGTGACATGTTTCCAGTGACCCAATACCATAGTAAAGATTGGAAACCCCAAATGATTTTGGTACAGATATAATCTGTGGTAACTTAAAACCAAACTCAAATTATGTATCATCAGTTCTTTTTGATCTCTCATCATCAATTTTCCATCCATATTGAACAAGATTGCTCGCTTACTCAATTCATTCATCTATCTCAGTTTCCTTCAAAGTTTTTCATCTGATCATCATTATGTTCAAACTACCATCTGATCACTCTTCATCTTAAATTGAATCAAGCTCAATCAAAAATTAACTCCAATTTTATCATCATAGTGTATTTATCAATACCATCAGATCCATCTCTACTGCCCAGGTAAGTACTAGGTTACAAGTTCTTCTTCTCTATTCATTGGTATCTCAGCCTTATGCTACCCTCGACCTAGGTTATCATAAGTTTAGAGTAGTGTGAAGGGGTGTCTCAAGCAAGGAGGGGTCCCGGGGCCACTGAGGGCTTATGTTTGAAGCACTCAGTCAAAGATAAGCCCTCAGTTGTCTAGCCCCTGGTTTGCTCTGTGCTCTGAAACTACGTAAGGTGCCTGAAAAGGTGCCAGAAGAGAGGTCTTTCCTAGCCTAGGGATGGTGGGTGGGTGCTAAAGATGATATTTATGGCTTCTAAAAGACATAGAGCCTTGGTGCAGGTAAGGATTGTTAGAAGACAGGATGAAATGTTTCCTTCTGTCTCTTCTGTATCTTAAACCTCCACAACTGTCTAGTGTATGTACCGTTTACATGTGCACCTAGCCTCCCCTTACCCTCCTAGCTCCAATGGAAATAACTTACCATGTCATGCCTTTGGTGAGAAGTAGCCATAAATCTTTGTCTTCATATTCTTATCAGGCATTGACTTTTACTTAATGTAATAGAAAAGAGTGATGATGTAGAAAAATTCATGATTTCTAAATGAATGAGGTCCAAGATAAAGAATCATATTGACCTTGTAATACTATCAACAAAGAAATATCATTGAAATAAGAAAACTTGGGCGAGCAAAAACCAATACAGTCAAATTTTTGCAATCCAGAAGAAATTGAATCTTCTCCTCAAAACTCTGGTATTTCCGGATGTACAATTGAAATTTGGTCCACTAAGTTGGGCTCCTGAGGAGATTTTGACTCTGGAATCCGGTAACCTCTGCTATCCAGTACAAAAGGTGTACCCAATTGCACTAGATTTCATAGGTATCATGACTGTTGTCATATTGCAATTCATGTGGTAGTATAGTCATACAAATACTGTGACAAAATGATGGAGACAAGACAAGTCTAAAGGTTTCCTCCAGATGCAAAACTCAAGAGATTACCAGAGAATTTTTTAGGGTTGAGGAATTTGAGGTCCTGGCAAAGTTTAACTAATTGTCCAACCATGCCTGCACACCTGTAAAGGGTATCACAGTTGATCTTGGACTTTGGGTGTGAGTATACCCATTTTATTTGCACTCTTGTCTTCCATACTGCTTGTGCTCAGTGCTTCAAAGCTCATGGAAATGGGATTCTAGCTCCAAAAAACCTTCTTTAGATCTTTCCACATGTGCTAGATTTTTTCACCACAGCTTTCATATTGCAAACCAACTCAAGTGTTGTATTTTGTGTCTCTTTTTCATAATCCAATAGGATTGAAGTGAATTTTTGTTGTACAGTTGTTGGAGCGTCCAAAATGAGGTATGACAGAAATTGATATCGTCACATTTAAAGCAGAACACTCAAGGAGAAACCCAAGACCTTGAAGAATAGGTGGTGAACTGGATCCAGATTTTCTTGAGGTCTGAAGCCCTCAAAATGGGCGGTGAAGGCAAAAGCAGAAAAGTTGGTAATCTCAGGCCAAAGATCCTCCCTGCGAGGGCGCGGATGCGGCTGGGCTTCAGGGCTTAAGTTAAGTAACTTAAGTCCTGGTAGGTAAAAACTCGAAGGCTGTGACATGTCTGTGAAAGGAAAGTTTAAATAGGCTGTATGACAACACGACCCAAACCGAGCATGATACGATTCTGAAGGTTTCATTTCAACGAATCAAACAAGCGAAAAACGAACGAGGAAGGTTATCCATTATCAACCTTCTGGAGACAATTTACAAAACTTCAACACAATGGCAGGACCTAATTTAGAATTAATCAAATTTGGTGTAAGTTTATTTTGATGTTAGATAGAAGAGATCGATTGGTCGATTGATTGTGAACTGAATTGATTGATTGACTTGATTTCTAGATGTATGTATTTTTTCCAATTGGGATTATGATCCATTATGGTGATCCAGATTGGTATAGAAAATACGTTTTACCTGATAAGAATGATTTTTTAAAAATTAAAGAAAACGAACCAGTTAAGTTAATTTAGATTATTGAAAAATCACTTTGATTTATCAAACTGATGAAATGGTTTCTTTTTTTTTGTCGAATAGATTCCTCCTCGTAATAAATTTGAACTTGAAAGAGATTTAAAAGAACTTAAAGATTCAAAGAACAAAAGATTAGAGAAAAAGATTGATGAAGAGAATGAAATGAACCGGAATCGATTAGTTTAAAAAGATATCATATAAGCACGCTATCTCGACCCCCCATGGTTTATAACTAATCAGACCCCCCCACACCCTAGGACGGCTTAAGTGGCCTTTAATTGTATGTAGTCGGATAGTGATTCTTTCCACATAAGCTCGTCCTCATTAAAGTGGATGCTTCCAATGTAAATGATGTCAATCTCTGTAATCAATAACCCATTTATCAACTCCGATACCCTCAAAATGAACATTCTTGACAATCTCTGGCTCAAACCTTCATAATCTATCTGTCTTGGCGCTGTTACCGCAGTCTGTCCGAGTGACACACACGCACTGACTGTTTCACCCTCGTGTCGCAACCTACATCATCACAATATGATCTGGTTTTGCTCTTATATTCAGCGTATGCAGATGATATATGTTACAAGTGTTGTCTTAACAAGAGTATCCGATCATGAGTTCCCCGCCTGGAAATGTTCATGCAACTCTGCACTTTTGTCATCTCACCATATATGCCTGCGGCTCAAGCAGTTTGAAGTATCTGAGACTGTGCACAGTGGAACTACAGTCAGGTTCTGAGGAACTGTTCATTAATAATAATTCTTACAAGACTGAGATTCAAGAGCAATGTGAAGTGAGGAGATAAAATTAGTCTAGAATAATGCGGGTTTGGAAGATTGTCAGAGTTCTGAGTTTATGCGCCAGTTACCCTGAGGTCTACTATATAAACCCCCAATCATTGTGCTTTCAGAGCTCAAAGTTTCCTTCAAAATCATTATTGGTTAGTCTTTTATTTCTTTGATAATCTTTGTGTTTAGATTGTAAATAATGTTCAACTGTGTTCAACAAGGAAAAGATAGTTAGTAAGGCCTATTCTGATCATGGATCTTTCATCTTTTTTCGATCATTTGTTTCCAGGTGGGCTTCAAATCACAAATCATTTTTGGAAAGTAACACAAATTTCAAACATATTGAAGTAGAGGTCTCAATTAACACTGTCAGTTTTGTTTGGTTCAATTTTCTGGATCAAAAGGAATCACTGTAGCTAACTTTGCACAATCCCAACCAGAAAACTCCATCATGAAATTCCAAACAATCATCATTGCAGTTGTGCTTTTGGGTTACTATGAGGCTTCAGGTGCCCCGATGCTCTCTCAAGTTACTCATCCAATGATGACAGATGTACCATCTAGTCACATAGCAAACCAATCAAGTGGTCTGAAGATCCCATTCATCCAACAGAATATGGAAGAAAGAGTGAACCATGCACAACAACTTTCCAAACAGGCAGAGAAAGAGTTTGGAAACACTCCTAAAAATACTATCACAGATGTAGCTCAAACTAATGACATCAACCTGGCCAAAGAGATCAAGGTGACATTCCATCCTCTTGATGAAGGTGATCAAAGTGCTGAAGAAATAAAGCATGGTAAAAGTGATTTTCATTGCTTTGTTGACTTCCTGATCCGTATGGGCACTCTGTGGAAGATAGCTGTTGCCGGAGGGTTCAAAAGATGATTGGAAAAGGTTTTTTCATGGCAAGGAAACGCAACCAATCTTGCTCTTTATTTTTCTGGAAAACTTTACAGGATCTCTCTATTGATTGTCAACATTCAGGGTACAATACATTTGAACAGTACCTGATAATGCATTCATACAATGTTTTGACAAAATAATCTCTTGGAAAAAGTTTGTTTTCTTTTGTTTCATTGTTTTTTTGAGTGTGTTGACATGTTTTATTTCTTTATTTGGTTTTGAATGTGTTATCCCCTGCTTTCTCTTATAAAATTCATGAATCAATGTTTATGATGTGGTCATTTTGATTGGATTGAAAGAATAAGTGCCCCATAAGTTTAACTTGAGATGAAATCTATCAGAATTCTGGCCCCAGAATGTCTAACATTTCAATTCATTTTGTTTTGACTAGACTGTCTAGTCAAATTTTCACTCTACTCTTGTTCATCTACTTCTTGTCTCTCGTTTATCTATTTCTTGTCTCTCGTTTAAATTCCATTATAACTATATGTGAAATTTAACTTCTTGTACATTTTTTTAAAAAATTCCACCGTTATGACCATTATTTGAGCCAAAAATCGCGGTTGCGGTACGGCGTGTTACGATGAGACCGTACCAAAGTGGACTTCTGAATACGGTGGTCTGCACTTAACGGTACGGCGCGGTAGGTACTTACAGTGGTCTACCGTAGCGTTATGGAACTTCCACCACGCTACGGTAGATTACGTTGAGGTCCGAGTGTTGCTAGACAGTGACTTCACCAGAGTAGATAAATGAAAAGTTCAGAAGTTCAATGTAAGAGTTTTTAATTCTTGAGCAACCAAGAAATTTTGAGGAGTATGTTGTCATACTGTAAGGTTTGAAGACATATTCCTTGAAGAACTTGAAGAATATTGTGAACTTGTTTCTCAATTCTGTGAGTGATTATTATGATCTGACCGTGTAGCAATCATAAGGTCAAAGAGAAACATTCGTATCATAAAAGATGATACTGACCTAAACAGGATCAAACACTGTCTTTATGATTTTGTGTCAACAAAAATTACATACATCATAGACATCTGGATTAAAAATGCATAATGAAATGAACCTTTTATTGATTGTTTGCTCAAGGGAGCTAATTCAAGATAATAGGGGGGCTCAAGTCAAAAAATTTTACTAATTTTTTCGTAAAAAACTTTTCCCAATTGCATAAAATTTACGCAAAATTTTATGCAATTGGGAAAAGTTATACGACATCCCAAATTTTTTTGAGCAGTAAATTTACGCAAATTTGCGTAAATTTGCTGCTCAGAAGGAGATCCGAAAGAAATTTTTACGGTCCGTTTTTATGAATTGGGAAAAGTTTTTACAGCACGGTACCGTAAAAAACTTTCCCCAATTTTTTAAAAAAGGGCCACAAATATTTTGAATTGAGCCCCCCTAATTCATCTCGCATGAGGGCAAGTACAAGTATCATGCCCAGTTTGGCTATATTTGCTGCATTTTTGACCAAAGAGCTCAGCTTCAGTATATTCAGGATGTGCTTTGAGTGGCTTGGTGGTTCTTGAGGAGTGCAAAGGCTGTCCAGGAGCTTGAAGTGGTTCAGGCTCGTGGATCACACAGGAGATTGGATCAGGCTGTGAGAGAGGATTCCTCAAGATGATTGAATTATTTACCATCCGTTTACAATCAAGGTGCTTAAGGCCTCTTAAGCCGTCCTAGGGTGTGGGTCTGATTAAGTAAACAGAGAGGATTGGAATATCGCGATCCCGTTATGATATCCTCTTGGAATCATCTTAATTGTGAGTTGGCTATAAGGCTGAGGAAGTGAACTAGTTATTAACTAGTGAGATAACAATCTCAATGACCTATAGATGAGCAAGCAACAAACCTCCTCAAAAAGTCATGGAAAGAAACCGGCAAGGAAAAGAGAAAGGGTACAAGTGAGAATAGATAGAGCCTTTGTCTTTATATATACCAAATAGCATCACTACAACACGGTCTGCACCATAGATCTGATTACTAATATGACGTCAAGAATTGAATTACTCTTCTGGTTCTCATTGTTTTTGTTTTATATTTAGGTACATATCAAAAATACATCTTCACCAAAGATTAAATCACCCTAAATCACCCCATATGTCATGCTTGTTTTGAAGTTTGTTTCATGTAAAAATTCGAGATTCATTTCTTTCCTTTTTTTTGGTAATGAAGATTGTTCAAAATTGATTATTGTTTGGAAAATGAAAATATATATATGTGAAGATAGATGGGATAGGAGACTTAAGATAGCAGATTTAAAGAAACTTGAGAGTATTTCGAAAAAAACAAGCTAAAATCTATATATATATTGATGATATTTACAAGCTCATGAAGCTTACTAATACGAACCTATTTTAAGGAAAAAGTTTGGTTGAAGAATCGAGAAAGATATTCGGATGAAGATTGCATTCCAAATCAATTTGTGATTCATAACTCAATCAAAAGTAAGATCGAGAACAAATTGAGACAAACGATTACCAAAAAAAACATACATACAAGGATTCACATCCAAGATAAATAGACAAATCACATTCGATATAGCCGAAAAAGTCAGATAATAAAGAGAGACATGAATGAGTTTTGCAAGCGTATGCAGCAGATGAGAAATTTTTAAAGAATGTGAGTGAGATTAGCCGATTGTTTTGAATACTTTGAAGGCGATGGTCATAAGACTTGCATAAGAAGCAGCTTGGTGAATCCAACTTCCGAGTAAGGATGGAAGTAAAATGGTCAATCTATTCATGGAACCAAACTTCTTGCTCAAGCTAAGACGTCATCCAACCAAACTCATACCAAACTCATCTGCAAATTCTTATCTCCATCATTCTTCACAGTTCTACCGTACCAAAATCAAAACCTATAAAACTCGGTACTCCGCTCAGGAGCTTCTGAAATCTTTATTCCTTTTTTCATCTTGACATCCCAATTTAAGCCTGAAAGATAATTCCTTCTACAATCTCATTCTCGAATCTATTTACCTAAACCTTTTTCCTTTTTTCAAAAATGCCATTAGTTTTCGAAGTTTGTTCACATCATTCTGATAGGATTGCTAAATTAATAAATGTAGCCCAAGGAATGATTTTAAAAGAAATCAATTCGATAGATGGGAAAGAAGAAAAAAGTCAAGAAAGTTTAAAAACTAACTTGAGTAACATCAATTCGATTTTAGATGAAGCATTTACAATTTCAAGTCAACTTGAATCTTATGTTCAGAAATGGTAAATCTCAATCTCATCAATTTCCTCATGACCCCATTCCCCTTTACCTATGATTGATATTTGAGATTCTAAAATGGTTTTGATTTGATATGATAAAGTTCAAATGTACCAGATCCGAATTCGACTTCCACAAAACTCATCAAAAAGATCATCACAGGAGCCAATGAAACAGATTGGAAATCATTACACGAAACCGGTTCGACCACCTCAAGATTAATGCCAGCCATGTCATCCAACTTATACGAAGCAGGATTCTACAAATTCTTAATCGATATCATTCAACCTAAAAGAGTCTTAGAAGTCGGAATGTTTACCGGTACGATCACGGCTTTGTTCGGTAGTATTAAATCAGTTGAGAAAGTCATCAGTTTAGAATATGAACCTTACTTGGAAGATTGGTGTAGGAAGTTTTGGAAAGATTCTGAGATTGATGGATTGAATGAAAAGATTGAAATTAAGATTGGTGCTGCAAGTGAGAGTATAGAAAAGATGGTAAAAGAAGGTGAAGAACCATTCGATTTAGTAAGTCTCATCTGTTCTCTACTCACTTTACTACTTTATCAATTAGATTCTTATCCATGACTTCTTTTTTCTTCTTATCCATGACTTCTTTTTTCTTTTTTTGGTAAAGATTTTAATTGATGCAGATAAAGAATCATACGTGACTTATTTTCAACAAATCATTAAACATAAATTATTATCTAAATCGGGTGTATTATTAATTGATAATGTACTCTTTAGAGGAACATCAATTGAACCATTCAAAGTACCATCTCCAATCTCAGATTCTATCATCAAAGAATCTTTGGTAAATTGTAATGAATTAGGTAAAAGTTTAAATACACTTAATTCTTTGATTTCTCAAAATGATCAAGTTGAAGTGATCATGTTACCAATTAGAGATGGACTTAGTTTGGTTAAATGGAAATCTTCTTAAGTTCATGATTGATTTTTTTCTTGGAAGAAATCTTTCAACTTGTTTGGGATTTTTTTTGGAGAAAGTTATATAGAGAGATAAAGAAACTATAGAATATCAAAAATACTTTTCTGATTCTTTTGTTTTCATTTTTTTTATATCAAACAAACGTATTTCTCTTTCTCATGATTTGTAATAACATTTATGTTCCAGATTTTTCGAAATGAAGTGCTTTGCTTTGTGATGAGTTAAAGGAATCACTTTACAAGAGATCAGAAAAAAAAATCCACAAAAGCCGAGTGATAAAGTACACAAAACTGACCGAATTCAATTTCACATCCAAACCTTTCTGGTAGTTAAAACCTCGTAAGCAAATTAAAACGTGGAAACCTTATCTTGTCTTTCTCCCTAATCGAATATGAATCGGTGAATGTATGATGATAAGAAATGATCGATGAAACGATACAACAAAGTAGCCATGATTTATAAAAATTTAAAATTCAAACAAGTTAGAAAATCATTATTTTACGTTACGATTTTTTTTACTGCTGCATAGAATTTCATTCACTTGATACGAATTTCGATCCATTTTCTGTGCAGAGAAAATTTTAAAAAACTTCCATCTTTTTCCTCTTTTTAAATTCTCGCTTGTTTTATATATATTTACACAGTGGGAAAACAAAAAGGAAATGTTAAAATCAAGTTTGGTTTACGTTTTTTTGATTAACTTTTTCTTTTACAATGTCAAAGGTTTCCATCAATTTCAATTAAATGATCATCACCACTTGCAAACAAAGCATTCGTAAGTCGTGCCCAAGATTTCTTTTTCTTTACAAATCTGGTCT